ACTTACCATCTAATCCTTTATTGTCTTTTTGGTCATTGCATCCTGTAATTTTTCCAAAAATGACAAGAAAAACACCTATCATGAATGCTCCAAATATATTCACTGATGGGTCAAATAATGGTACAGCAGCAGTAGTTACCCCTGATCAAACTTTTACATTTTTAGTACCCAAACAATCAGCTCAAAAGGTAGAGCTTAATGCAGTTTTACAAGCTTTTGTGATGTTTAAAGATTCTGTATTTAATTTATTTTCTGATAGTCAGTATGTAGTTAATGCTATAGTATCTCTTGAAGATGCTGGTAGGATTTCCCCTTCTACTGTTTTCTCTTTGCTTTCCACTATACAAAGTCTAATCTGGGACAGAAAAGATCCATTCTTTATAGGACATATCAGGGCACATACAGGATTGCCTGGAGCCCTTAGTTTGGGCAATGATTTAGCAGATAAAACTACACATGACATACATATTTTCTCTACACTAGAAGAAGCTATAAATTTTCATAAAAAGTTCCATGTCAATGCTAATACTTTACAAAAGCGTTTTAAAATAACTAAGGAACAAGCTAGACAAATAATAAAACAATGTCAAAATCGTGTGACCTTTTTACCACAAGTTAATCTTGGAGTCAATCCTAGAGGATTGATACCTAACCATATTTGGCAGATGGATGTCACACACTTGCCAGAATTTGGAAAATTAAAATATTTGCATGTTACAGTTGATACTTCTTCTGGATTTTTGATGGGCTCCCTTCATGCCGGAGAAAAAACTAAAGATGTTATAGCTCATTGCTTACAAAATTTTGCCACTGTGGGTGTTCCAAAACAGTTAAAAACAGATAATGCCCCTGGTTATACTTCTACCTCTTTTAAACAATTTTGCTCAACATTTGGCATTACTCATATAACAGGAATCCCATACAATCCACAGGGACAAGGCATAGTTGAAAGAGCTCATCAAACTATTAAAATGTACTTATTAAAGCAAAAAGAAGGAATTGGGAAGGGGTATATATTCCCCAAAGATAAACTTAAAATAACCCTTTTTACTCTAAACTTTTTAAATTTGGATTCATCAGGACTTAGTGCTGCGGAAAGGCATATGTGTCCAAAAAATGTACATAAGCCCAAGGTACTTTGGAAGGATATTCTAACAGGACAATGGAAAGGTCCTGACCCAGTAATTGTCTGGAGTCGGGGGTCTGTTTGTGTGTTTCCACAGGGAGAACAGCAGCCGATTTGGATTCCAGAGAGATTAACCAAGGTCCTGACCCAGTGATTGTCTGGAGTCGGGGGTCTGTTTATGTGTTTCCACAGGGAGAACAGCAGCCGATTTGGATTCCAGAAAGATTAACTAAAGCGATTTCTACAGACCAAAAAGAAGATGATTTGGCTCAAATCCATAACAACTGATATCCAAAACTCCAGTTTGGCTGTTCTTACATCTGCAACAGAACCAGGATGCTTTTTTCAATATCTATTTTATTATTGCCCTTTGCCATATCATGAAGTTCTATTTTGTTTTTTGAGCTCATACAGACCTAGGTTAATGTTTTGCTGATCAGTTCTATTTTTTGACTATAGAGTTTTTAAACATTGCAATGGAGATTTCACCTGTAAAAAGTTATAAGGCCTTTACTATAATGTTATGTGTTGTATGTATTATGTGTGCACACTTGTGTTTTGTGTTATATGTTTGAATGTACGTATGTCCATATATCATATAAGATGAGCGCTCATGATAAAATGGATCCAAATATTTTTTTTTCACGTGATTTATATGGTTTAATTTAAATTGGGTAAACAACTGTTGAGGATTGTTTTAATATGTGAACACAAAAGAAGGTTAACAGATCTGTTTGTTTACTTTCACCTTTCCTTTTCATTATATTTAATAATTCTCTTAAAGACAATGTAAATTTTTAAGAAAATTGTTTTCTTTTAGTGCCTTCTGTAATGTTACATAATTTTTTCTTTAGCCATTATTGCCAGAATTCCTATCTTCATCCCAGTGCCGGTGAAGACAATGTAAATTGTTAAGAAAATTGTTTTCTTTTAGTGCCTTCTGGAATGTTACATAATTTTTTCTTTAGCCATTATTGCCAGAATTCCTATCTTCATCCCAGTGCTGGTGAAGTCAAAGATAAAACCAATCTACAGCTTCTACAATAGCCATCACTGAACTGCTTGCAGAACTTGCCTGGACACATTGTGAGCTCACCTGTATGCATTGTGAACTATCTGTTGGTACAGCGAATTGTGGTAGTGCTGGAGTATTTTTGCTGATGGTGTCACCGGTGGTACAATTTTTCAAAGGAGCCCTCAATTGGCTTAATGTCATGGCATTTTGCATCCTCCTCTACTAGTGATGGTCTAAAATTTGGGGGCCAACAGAGGTGAGGCAAAGAACCTCACCCCCCCACAGGTGCAAAGGCCTATCCACAAGTATGGCTGTATGCTGGACCGGTAGTCAGTGACGGGTATGATCCGATTGCAGTGGTACCAACCTAAGACAGGAGGCTGACGCCTAGAGGTCAGTTCATCCCATGACGGGTAAGGACCATATGTTGAATTGGACTGCCTAACAGGCACGGTCCCTAAGCCACATGCTTGTTGTTTAAACAGAGAGGGGGAGATGTTGAGAGCCACAGCCAAAGGGGCCCCAGCAAACTTCCAGCTGCCAGCAAACTTCCAGCTGCTGGCTGATGATTGGCTCACAGCGGCCCCAGCAACATCTAGCTGATTGGCTCCTCGGCCCCAGCAACATCTAGCCGATTGGCTCCTCTGCGGTGATGCTCATTGGGCTGTTTCCCTGCCCTTTCAGACCACGGAGCTGCTCATTGGGGGACTTTTTTGGCTCTGCCCATGTGACCCAGCCAATCGGCCTCAAGAGCAGGAGGATTGTGGGAGGTGGAGAGAAGCTTGTGTGGGAGAGGGAGGCTTGTGGAAAGCCGGTGGTGGCAGTTGAGGCTCTGAGGGTTTTTCCTGAGAGGCTGTTTTGTTTGGCGTGTGTGGTTCTAAAAATAAAGTTAGTTTCTTTTGACAAGTGGCTCCTGATTGTGCCCTGATTGTGCTGATGCAATGAGTTTGTTGGGATGAACCCAACTACCATGTGTAACAATAAAGCTCTAACAAAATAATTTTATTAAAAAAGATTAAAAAGAGAAAGAATAAATCGAATACATGGCATGGAACTAAAAACTTGAAGAACAAGCATTCATAAGCATAAATATTAACTATTTTGAAAATCATTTTTCTTAAAATCTCTCTCCTACACAAAGAGATAGAATCACTTAAAAGACTTTTACACTTTGGGGGACAGTGAAGACATTTTAAATGATGGGGAAAGCACTATCAGAGACCTAGTACCTTGACCTTCCTCCTGCATGAATCACTGCACTTGGTGCATGGAAATATAGATATCAAGGATTAAACAAGCAACCAGAGTGTCCATAATTCCCTTCTTGATACCAAAAAGGAGGGAGTAAGGGAAATATTAAATAAAAGTAAGCTTTACATGAAATGCTAAAGGAAATTGTAAATAAGGAAACGGTCTGATGGTGGGTATCTTACTTAAACTTCTTGCAAGTCCAGTGAGATTGTGGATCCCAGTCTGAATGAATGCTCAGCACCCCCTAGTGTCTGTGCAATTCATCAAATGATTTTCATCAAAAGCAAGTATTAAGCCTTGTTTTAGAACTGAATGTAGGTAGAATTTACCTCCACCCATGGAAAATTATTTGAGGGTACACCCCCTTGTTACCATACCACTAGAAGACTTCAGCAGAAGTAATGGTGAATAGTGAAGGCAACAAATGTAAGGTCAATGAGATTTAAAGGAGCTTCCTTCAACTCAGAACTTCTGCCAAAGTCCTCTGCTTCTATAAAGATTAATAAAGAATTCTCTGGCCTCATCCTCCAAAGCCCCAGAGGTTGTTATTTCACCTCTGTGACAATCATTCCTCTTCCTCTGTAAGGTCTGGAGCTTGCTACTCTTCCTGCTCTGTTTTCCAAGGCTGACTTCTAACCGATTACCTCAAATTTTATCTCTTCAGAAGGCTTTTTCTGCCCAAGGCAGTCTTCTTTGCAGGCTCCTTATAGCCTCTGGATGGTTAAAGTGGAAGATCTGTGAGTGCAGGGACCTTTTTCATTCACTACTACATACTTAGTTCTGTTTGGCAATTAAGCTCAACAAATATTTAATAAGTGAAGGATTCAAAGATTTCTTCCCCAAAGGAGTTTATTTTCCTGTTCCTACTACAATGTAAACAAAGAAATCAATCAGACATTGTGATAAATGTCATGAATAAAAAAAAAAACAACAAAACACAGGGGCTGGGGTTGTGGCTCAGTGGTAGAGCACTCGCTTCACATGTGCGAGGCCCTGGGTTCGATCCTCAGCACCCCATTAAAAATAAATCAATAAAAAATAAAGGTATTGTGTCCAACTACAACTAAAAATAAATATAAAAAACAAACAAACAAACAAACAAAAAAAACCCCAAAACAAAACAACAACAATAAAACCAAAACACAAAAACCAAAAAAAACCTGACAACTACAAACCCTTAAATTAAGGCTGGCCCAGGGCGGTAAGTCCAGTCTCCTGTGGTTTCTGAGTCCCTTCTGTGACCTTGCCACCAGTTCTACCACTGAATACTCTTCAGAGTCAAGGGACTACAAACTCCAAGTGAGCTGAAATGCATCCTTGAAAGATCCTCTTCTCCACCAGCACCCCCAGGGCAAGAAGACCACACTAGTCAATAGTTTACCAAATATCACCCAACTCATTAACTTGTCTACTTCCTTCTACCCCAATGACGAACCCTGTTGCTTAAAGATCCAATGGGATGCTAACACCCTTTATTTTTCCTCCCAGCTCCTACAATGAACCAGAGGAGCTGCCATTCGGAAGTCTTTTGTTCTCACTTGCCAAGGTCATGTCCTCATGAAGTCATAATACCCTAGCTCATGAAACAGTACAAAAAACATAGAAAAATCTATTGGGAAAATTTTATTTATCTTTGTGTAAGGCCCCAACCATTTCTAAAAATAATCAGGATCCTATGATTAACCATTCACTGAAATCAGATGGAATTTCTCCCTTGTTAATCTCCTGCAGATGTCAAATCACAGCCAGAATTATTATGAAATGGAAGAGGCTCACCATTACCTTTAGTGTTTTGTATAAACCTTTGAGGGCCAGGGATAGGATCCAAGTTGCTTCTACAGCCTCGGAACAATAGCTATCCATGCTGGTTTGCAGAAGGTGACTGGCGATAAAGGCAAAGTGCTGGGAATATTGGCTCAATTGGGCTTGAGAGTCACTGCATTCTTGTCCTCCTCCCTTCTGGACCAGCTGGTAGTCTTTCACTGGAGAGAGAGAGAGCGGACAGGAAGAAAAAGGCAGAAAAAGTATAGTTAATGCTTCCTGTAGCCAAATCTCTTCTAGAGTATATGCCTTATTAAAAGAAGAAATGCAGAAACAATCTCCTGGGCTCAATTGTAGTCACTATATTTAAGGCCAGCTTGAAGGTGAGCACAAAAATGGTACTGGGTCACCCATCTACTGAGCAAATAAGAGGGATAATTCACAATGCCAAGTGGGTCATCTTCAAAAAACAGTATGTGAGATTGTCACTTCCAAACAAGGTGGATGGAGTAAGATAATTGATTCACTCTTCCACTTAGGCAGCTAGAACAATGAGGAAAACATATGAAACAATGTTTTTCAAACATTGGGCAATAGGTAGTGCAGGATTAAGATCCCTGAGAAAAAGGATGTAAACTAGATTAGCTCCTCAGTGCACCAGAAATCTGGAGACAATTTCAAGGCTGCAGGGCAGGAAGCAGATGTCCCAGAAGAGTGGAGAAATCTCAAGGAACTGAGGAGATGGAGACTGAAGTTTAGGGAAGTCAAGGCAGCTAGAATTTATGGGGCAGAATATTAAAAAATATATATATAAAGAGAGAGAGAGAGGTGGGTAGGAGAAAGCTTTAGAGATTCAAGAGGGTTCCTCATAAGTCTTAGGCTAATATTGACCTGCATATATGTGAAAGGAAACTATCTAGGGCAAGAGAAATAAATACCAAAAAGCAGTAAGCATAACAATTTCTGAAGTTCAAACAAAGCTGGAACTATTCTGTCTTTTCACCACATAGAGTGAAGATGTCCTGGGAGAAGATAGAAAAAAACATTTGAAGGAAGGGAGGGGGTATGCTGAGGAGTGACACAGACCAAATTATATTGTTACATTTTATGCATGAATATGTAACAGATCCCATCATATGTGCAACTATATGCACTAAGAAAAAACTGTGGAGGAAAAAAAAGAATGACAGAAGACTTCATGCCAAAATTCTATGCTTGTTAGAAGACAATGAGCAACTCCTCTTTAAAGTATTCAAAGAAAACTCTCAGATGAGAAATTTTTACCCAGAAAAAATCTTTCAAAGATAAGGTAAAAATGAACATCTCTAGACAAACTAAGAGATTCTGTAGCAGCAAATCTCCACTTTAAGAAACGCTATGTGAAATTTCTCAGGCCAAAGAAAAATGATACTACATGAAAAATGGAATCTATATAAAGGAATGAAGAACACTAGAAATACTAAATATGTAACTAAACATAAGATATAATTTATATACATTTTTTGGTACCAGGGATTGAACCCAGGGGTACTTAACCATTGAACTACATCCCAGTCCCTTTTTAAAATTTTGAGACAGAGTCTTGATAAATTGCTTAGGGCCTCACTAAGTTGCTGAGGCTGGCTTTGGACTTTCGATCTTCCTGAACTACTAGGATTACAGGCATGCACCACTGCATCCACCTATTTTTTAAGTTTCTAATGTTTTTAAAGGAAAAAAATGTGACATTTATATCATGTAGAATAAAATGTGTGGCAACAATAACACAAAGAATGAGTGCAAGAAATGGAAATAAATGTTATAATATTTTTACTTTATTGGGAAATGGTATAATATTTGAAGGTAGACTATGGATGAGTTAAAATTGTACAATATAAACCTTAGAACAATCGCAACCACTAAAAATAAAAGAGAAAGAAAGAAAGAAGTAGGGCTAGAGATAGGGCTGTAGCTCAAGGGTAGGGTGCTTATGTAGTATGCACCGAAAAAAGAAAAATTGAAAAGAATATAAAGAAACAGAGTTAAAAAGCCAGTAGTGAAGATAAAATGGAATCATTAAAGAAGAATAAAGCAAGTAGGGGGTGATGGCCCATGCCTGTAATCTCAGTCTCTCGGGAGGATGAGGCAGGAGGATCACAAGTTCAAGACGAGCTTCAGGAACTTAGCAAAGCCCTAAGCAACTTAACAAGGCTGTGTCTCAAAAAATAAAAAGGGTTGGAGATGTAGCTCAGTGGTAATGTGCCCCTGGGTTCAATACCCAGTACCAAAAAATAAAAAATAAAAACTCCAAAAGGCGGCAGAAGGAAAAAAGGGAACCAAGAATAGATGAGACAAATAGAAAATAAGTAAGAAGATAGTAGATTTAAACTCAACCAACCCGATAACTTCATTAAATGTAAAATTTAAACAATTCAATTGAAAGATAGGGATCAGCCAGATGTGGTGGCACACACCTGTAAACCCAACTACTACAGAGGATGAAGTGGGAAGACTGCAAATTCGAGGCCAGCTTCAGCAACTAATTGAGACCCTGTTTCAAAAAATAAACAAATAGGGCTGGAGATGTAGCTAAGTAGTAAAGCATATTTGGGTTTAATTCCTTGGACTGGGGGGGGCGGGATAGGTGGAGAGACAGAGAGGGGGAGAGAGGGAGAGAAAGGCAGGCATTATCAGATTGGATTAAAAAAGAAGACCCCTTCACAATGCACTATCTATAAGAAATTCATATTATTTATTTATTTATTTTTGGGGGGCGTAGATTCTACATAAAAGTAACCATATTAAAGAGTCTGGCAATCACTGGCAGGCTGCTTAAACAAATCTCTCTTTCACTCATTGTGTTGCAAGGGCCTAGTGGAAAGGGAAAAAAACAAAAAACAAGAAACACCAAATGCTGACATTCTCCAACAGACTGAGCTGGAGAAATGAAGACCCCTTAAGATCCAGATGGCACTTGATAGTCATTTGATAAATGGCCTTCCTTCAAGTGAAACTATTATATTGCCTCCCAATTTCTCTTCACGTGTTGACTGGTCCTTAATATCATCCAAGTAATTTACCTGCCACTTGTGTTTAATACCTGTACATTTCTTTTAATGGCATCTTTAGAGCTACCATAAGTAATCCTATTTTTTAAGTGTGCACTTTTAGGAACCCAGAATATAAATACTAGATCTTCTTTTTTAGAATCATTTTGTACGTGGCATCATACAAAGCACATTGGTAGTCATTCAGAGGTAACTTCACAAAAGATGTGCAGGGGTCCTCCACAGTATTACCAATGTCACTCACCAAGATCTGCTTTCCTTCTCTACAATTATTTTTCATTTGTCATTGTTTGAACAGAAGAGAACTGCTTTCTTTTTTTGATCTTCCCTTATGTATTAGATTTCCTTAATTTCTATCATGAAAAACTTTGATAACTTCATCATTCTCTGTAACTTCAGATGCCATTGTGCCTGTGGCTGTGACTGTGGCAGTGGCTCCACTTCTATGGCTCTGGGAGGAGAAGAAGGAGAGGCAGGCAGAGGGCTAAAAGAGTGTGGGGCATGCCAAGAGCTGTAGCCCCAAGGAGGCAGTGGGCCTGGTGGACCAAGAGATTGATTTTAAATGTCAAATCATGCATGTTTAAAGTAAAAGGACATGTCATGCAAGTGCTATTTTTTTTTTTTCAAAAAAGCAGGATACCTTATACAAATATTAATGTAGATTTCGGAACAAGAACTATTATTGCCAGGAGCAGTAGCCCACGCCTGTGATCTCAGTGGCTCAGGAGGCTGAGGCAGGAGGATCGTGAGTTCAAAACCAGCCTCAGCAAAAGTGAGGCACTAAGCAACTCAGTGAGATCTTGTCTCTAAATAAAATATAAAATAGGGCTGGGGATGGGCTGAGTGGTCACATGCCCCTGAGATCAATCTCTGTACCAAACAAACAAACAACAACAAAAAAACTATCATCAAGGATAAAAAGGAACACCTCATAATGAAACGAGAATGAACAATACTTTCAACAGTCTTTTTCAGTAATTGTTAGAAAAAGTAGAAGATCAGAAAGGGTATGGAAGACTTTCATAACACTGTTAATTGACTTGATCTAAATAACATCTGTGAGACACTCCACCAACAACAAAGTACACTCATGTACTTTGTTTTTGTGAAGGCTCATGAAGCCTTCACAAAAAAGTCAAATTTTAAACCCAAAACTAAGCTGCAATAGTCTCAGTATGCTCTCTGACTATAAAGGAATTAAACTTGAAATCAATAACAGAAAGAACTTTAAAATAATCCACAGAGCAAATAATAAATTACAAAATAGAAAATATTCTGACCTTAATGAAAATGACAGTATAACATATCAAAAATTGTGAGATATGGTTAAAACCACAAATAGAGAGAAATTCATAGCAGTAAGATGCTAGGGCAAAGAAGAAAGTTCTTTAATCAGTGATGATTTCCAATTTAAGAAGTCAGAAAAAGCAAAAAAAGATATTAAGCCCACAACAAGCATAAACAGAGAAATGAATAATGATCAGAGCAGAAATTAATAAAACAGAAAACAAGAGGGCCAGGCTCAGTGGTGCATGCCTGTAATCCCAGTGACTTGGGAGGCTGAGGCAGGAAGAACATGTGCTCAAAGCCAGCTTCAGCAACTTAGCAAGGCTCTAAGAAACTCAGTGAGATCCTGTCTCAAAATAAAAAGTAAAAAGGACTGGGGATGTGGTTCAGTTATTAAGTGCTCCTGGCAAAGAGAGGGAGGGAGGGAGGGAAGGAAGAAAGGTGTTGAGAGCCACAGCCGAAGGGGCCCCAGCAAACTTCCAGCTGCCAGCAAACTTCCAGCTGCTGGCTGATGATTGGCTCACAGCGGCCCCAGCAACATCTAGCTGATTGGCTCCTCGGCCCCAGCAACATCTAGCTGATTGGCTCCTCTGCGGTGATGCTCATTGGACTGTTTCCCTGCCCTTTCAGACCACGGAGCTGCTCACTGGGGGACTTTTTTGGCTCCGCCCACGTGACCCAGCCAATCGGCCTCAAGAGCAGGAGGATTGTGGGAGGTGGAGAGAAGCTTGTGTGGGAGAGAGAGGCTTGGGGAAAGCCGGTGGTGGCAGTTGAGGCTCTGAGGGTTTTTCTGATTTCCAAGTAATTTTTATTGTCTCAGTGGCCCTTTCTGAAAATCCAACCCATGTCTGTCTGTTCCTTGATCTATTTGTATTGGTGCTGCTATACCTTGTTCTTGTTTTTCTAATCTTTTTCCTTTCCTAAAACCTTGTCTAGTCATAATAGTGGGTGCATTTTGGTTGATGTTATTTGTTAATGTCAAACCTAATTGATCTAGGACATCTCGTCCCCATAAATTTACGGGAAGATGATCCAATACATATGGCTGTATAGTTCCTTCACATCCTTCAGGATCCTTCCAATCTAATACCATTGCACTTCTATGGGGATTAGTCGCCACTCCTAGGCCTCGAAGCGTTTGAGTGGCTTCTTGTAATGGCCAATGTTTTGGCCATTCTTGACGAGAGATGATGCTAAGGTCTGCACCTGTATCCAGTAGCCCATTAAATTCATGTCCTTGAATATTTAGTTTTAGCATGGGGCGAGAATCTAAATTTAAAGAAAGCATAGCCCAATCTACACCTGTGGAGCCTAATCCCTTGGAACCTCTTTCTACAGTACGACTGGAAAATTTATCATGTAGGCTGGGTATTATTAGTAACTGTGCTATTCTATCTCCTGGTGAAATTACTGATATACCCTTTGGAGAACTGGCTATAATTTTTATTTCACCTTCATAATCGGGATCAATTACCCCAGGACTTATCATAAGTCCTTTTAGAGTAGAAGAGCTGCGTCCCAATAATAAGCCTACTGTTCCTTTGGGAAGAGGTCCTTTCACCCCTGTGGGAATGATTTGAACTCCCATCTCTGGAGTTAGTACTGCTCTGGCGGAGGCGCAGATGTCCAACCCTGCGCTCCCTCTGGTTTGTCTGATGAGGGATCTGATGGACAATGTGTCCTGGGCACTACCCTGATGGGGTTGCTGGGTTCCTCCAGTGCTCCGTATATTTGTGGTTTTGGGCCCCGGAGCATTGGGCCCCCCTGTCCGTTTTTTGGCAATGGAGCCCGATGCCTTTCTCCACGATATTGTGGATAAACACCTGGTCCTTGTTCGTTTTTTGATAATGGAGTACCCTCTATGGTGGTTTGAGAACGGCATTCATTAGCCCAATGTCTCCCTCTACGGCATCGTGGGCAAATACCTGGTATTCTACTCCTTTGATACCTAGTTTTGTTAAACCCTCCTCCAATGGGGCAATTCCTTTTAAAATGTCCTGTTTGTTCACAATTGTAGCATGTTCTTGGCCTGGCATCTAAAGCCTGTTTTACTGCAGCTGCCACAATTTGCCCTTGTTCATTAATGTCTCTGGCATCTAAAGCCTGTTTTACTGCAGCTGCCACGACTTGCTCTTGTTCATTAATGTCTCTACATAATTTAATATATGTGTTTAAATCTTCATGTTTCCATGGTCTAATGATATCTCTGCACCAACGATTCGCTTGCTCATAAGCCAGGTGTTTTAGTAATGGCATTGCTTGTTCTGTATTCCCAAAAACTCTGGTAGCTGTTTGAATAAGCCTATCTACAAATTCAGCATAAGGTTCATTAGCTCCTTGTATTACCTTAGATAATTGACCTTGTAAACCTCCATGTCCTTGTAAAGTCTTCCATGCCTTAATTGCATCTGCAGCAATTTGTGCGTATACGCCAGGATCATATGCAATTTGTTGCTGCTGATCCTCATAAGGTCCCTTTCCTAACAACATGTCTAGATTTCTCTGAGGATAACCAGCTGCTGCATTTCGCCTAGCCGTCTCCTTGCAAAATTCCTCATTGGCAACCTTCCATAACAGGTATTGTCCTCCATTTAGCACAGCTTTACACATATTAGCCCAATCTGCTGGCGTCATGTTCAAGTTGTTAATGGATTCGACCAAGCTTACAGTGAAGGGTGCTTGAGGACCATAGGTTGTTACAGCCTCTTTTAGCTGCTTCACTGTTTTGAAATTTAAAACTTGGTAAAATCGCTGCCCTCCTGCCTCAAATACAGGGCATGTTAATATTTGAGATCTTGTCTCAGGATCCCAACTATCAACTGTGGGGGTTGGGGGCCTCCCAGCATATGGAGGTGGCGCTGTTGGTTGGACACTTTCGCCCTCTGGTGATAGAAAGGTGTTAGTAGCAGTCTCCTGTAGAGGTGGTGCTGTTGGTTGGACACTTACACCCTCTGGTGATAGAAAGGTGTTAGTAGCAGTCTCCTGTTGTACCTTTCCCCCTGATGGCTTTTTCTGTTTTACACTTTCTTTCTCTGTCTGACTAACTTGAGAGACCTTCTCTTTTACTTGAATCATTATGTCTTCTCCTTCCTCTACCATTGTCTGAACTGAAGGCTTTGGACTAAGCAAACAAGATATGAACGTCCACAATGGCAATGTGCCAACTGGCAGAGTCCCTGGGCTTTTCTTTTCTATTCTTTTTAAATCTTCACCATGATGGTTCCATTGTGATATATTTAACAACTCCTCCTTAAAAAGCCATGGGCTACATTTTTGTATTGTATCAACGTATACCCTGACTGCTCTTGATTTTACTGGGATGCCTCCTTCCTCTAACAATTTACTTAACACTCTTTCAGTTTGTTTTTTACTAATTTCTGATCCCGTATTTCTACTATAATACAACCCAACAAGATGACGCCAAACAAAACCGAGACAGAATGAAATAAAAAGGGAACAACAAAAAGTCATTATAGCCTTTCTATCCTCCTGACATGGGCATCCGTCCTTTCTCCCTATCTGTTCCTCAGACGTAAATAGTTTTTCCTCAGATGTGAGCGGTTTTTCTTCCGTCTCACTCATCTCCAGGGACAGGCAACTTAAAACAAAAGTGAAACAAAATAACAAAAGAAGAATCTTAAAATGGCTACCCATCCTCTCGCCCTGCCCTCAGGGGCGAGCAATTTCACTTACCCTCAGTCGCTCCCCGTGCGAGCCACCAAATGCCGCAGTCTGGCTGGGCACAATCAGGAGCCACTTGTCAAAAGAAACTAACTTTATTTTTAGAACCACACACGACAAACAAAATAGTCTCTCAGGAAAAACCCTCAGAGCCTCAACTGCCACCACCAGCTTTCCCCAAGCCTCTCTCTCCCACACAAGCTTCTCTCCACCTCCCACAATCCTCCTGCTCTTGAGGCCGATTGGCTGGGTCACGTGGGCGGAGCCAAAAAAGTCCCCCAGTGAGCAGCTCCGTGGTCTGAAAGGGCAGGGAAACAGTCCAATGAGCATCACCGCAGAGGAGCCAATCAGCTAGATGTTGCTGGGGCCGAGGAGCCAATCAGCTAGATGTTGCTGGGGCCGCTGTGAGCCAATCATCAGCCAGCAGCTGGAAGTTTGCTGGCAGCTGGAAGTTTGCTGGGGCCCCTTCGGCTGTGGCTCTCAACAGAAAGGAAAAAAAGAAGGAAAGAAGGGAGGAAGGAAGGAAAAAAAGAGGAAAAAAAAATCCTTTGAAAAAAAAATCAAATAATAAATGTCTGTCTAGGAAAAGATACAAATTACCAATTCAGGAATGAGAGAAGGTTTATTCCCTAGATAAATGGAGAGATATATATCATGCTTATGAATCAAAAAAACTCAGAGTTTGAAGTCAATTTTCCCAAAGCAGATCTATAGATTCTATGCAATGCCAGTCAATTACCAGCAATTTCTTTAATACAAAATGACAAGCTGATTCTAAAATTTATGTAGAAAGGCAAAAATCTAGAAGAGCCAAAGAAATTTTCCAAAAGAAGAAAAAGTTAAAGAATCAGATTTCAAGTCTTAGTAGAATAAAATAGTCAAGAGAGTGTTGTACTGATGTAAAAGACAGACATAGAGAAAAATGAAACATAATAGAATCTTATATGAATAGATATATGCATATAAGCCAATTAATTTCTAACAAAGGTACCAAGATAACTCAATAGAGAAAGGACAGTTTGCTCAACAAATGGTTGGGGAACTACTGAACATTCATTCATATGCGAAAAAAACCCTCAGATTGTGCTGGGAATGTAGCTCAGTGGTAGAGTGCTTACCTAGGATGTGTAAGGAACTGGGTTCAATCCTCAGCACCACATAAAAATAAATAAATAAATAAAATAAAGGTCCATCAACAACTACAACTAAAAAATATTCTAACAACACTGGCACTGCTTAGTGCTAAAGCTGAGGAGAAAGCTGATTACTTCAGAAGGTGAACGGAGAACATAATGGTTAGATACTCCATACTGTTTGGGGTTTGAAAATTAAGTCAAAAGAACTTAAGTTGTAATATTTTAAGTAAAACAAAATGAAAAGTCATACTGATACCAACATAATCTTCAGTGTGCAGTCACCTGGCTTTATGTTAAAATTACCCATAAGAAAACAAATGATACCTGCAAATGGTAAAATGAAATGTTCAAAACCTAAATATTTGTCCAATTGAAAAAATAGAGCTATATTCACAAAATTATAGCATGGAAAAGGGCCTTCAAAATTATGTTCTATCACATTATTTCAGAGATCAAGAAAAAGTAGCTTGGGAACTTGCTTTCTAAAGAAGTCATATGCAGGGGAAAGAACCATAATATCTTCATTGATTTTAGGGCATGCAAGGATTAGACAATTTATTCCATTCTTAGAAAAAGTAAATATGTTGAAAACCTGTTTTCCTTTTCCGAGTTTTGACATCCACAATCACAGCCCTGTTCTTCTCAGTAAAGTGCTTCAAGATGATCACATTATGGGGCTCATTGGCATTATCCATATAAACACAGCGGGTCCCCACACAAAGAACCTAAAACATGAGAGAGAGACAGAAAAGGCAACTCAACAGCACACTGAGACAGGAAAGAGTATTCACGGACAAATTCGGGCCTTTTTCTTGTGCCTCAGACTTCAACAAGCACTTAAGGATAGGGCTCTTTTCATCTCTAAGTCCAAAGGATGTCGCACACACCTAGCACAGAATTGATTTGCCCCTGCAGACATGCCATATTTTTATAGCCCTCTTTGTCTCAGTCAGTTGAGAGACATGAAGATTAGAAATGAGATCAAGATAAATGCCAGAGGGAAAGACAATTTTTGACGTTCTTTGTAATTTAATACATTACAGTTATTCATTACTCAAAGCCAATTACCAGTTAGTAAAATGAATCGAATGGGTAAACTTAAAAATGCAAGCTGAAAGTGTGAGGCCCTGGGTTCAATCCCTGGCACCACCAGAAAACACACACACACACACACACACACACACACACACAAAGAAAAAAAGCAAGTTGAACAAACCACCCCACCCCACAATCTTGAAAAAATATACCAGTATGTATATATGTCACAAAGTCTTTGATAAGCATGATGAGGACTGGAGGGGGTGAGCAGACCTTTGATTGCTGTACCTGAGGGAAGCCAACCAGCACCAGCAGGGTGAAGATATTGGTGTGCTTCAGCTGGAAAGGCAGCTGCTTGATGCAGTGGTCTGTGAAGGTGGCAATGACGTCTCGCCACAGAGGGGCACTGTTGAGTGACCGCAGGATCTCGGCCATGGAGCATGCCCAGTCTAGGCCCACCCGGCTGGAAGGCAAGAGCTCCATTAGGTGGCAGAGCACAAGGCTCCAAACTCAACTGGTTACAGCTCACTATACTCCAAGGCAGACCCAGAGGCAAAGGGCTACTCATTAATTAGTTTTAAAACTACAGAATGATGCTGGTTGGTAGCCTACAAGCATGGTTTCAAAAATCTCTATAAAAAGTCACCTGTGCATATGCACACATGCACACTCACATTTACACACAGAAAAATGGCTCAGGAGTAAATACACTAAAATAGCTGATGTATTAATATGGTGCAAATTAGGCTGACTTTTTTTCTTCATTTCTGTTTTCCAAATTTGGTATTGTGGTTATGTTCCTTTCATAGGAAATAGATTTTTAACCCCAAGACCTACATTTAATGCTCTCAGGGAAAAATACACCAGAATATGAATCATCAGAGTGTTAAATCAGCAGGCAGTGCTGAGGCTCAGCCGTTTAATGTGGAATGACAGCATTTCCATTAAACCAATTCTATGGCCAAAGGAAATTCTCAGACAACAGCACTGTAGCACCTAAAATGTATCACCAGTCAGTCCTCTGACCTAAATGGACACCACAGTGAGTGGTGTGGGGGTGGCGGGTGAGTGAGAACCAAGGTTACCTGTCTAGACATACAGCTCCCAGGCTAAAGAGTAGGTGGGTGGTCTTCCAGCCATCTGGCACAATGGCACTGTCCCCTGCAGCAAACAGGTTGTGTTTGGCTGAGAGAACCTTGATCACTGCGGCATCTACCTCTGCTGGTAAAAGACGGACGATTAACTGGCCAAGAAGACCCAGGGTGAGGTGGTAGGTTTCATTCAGGTGGCCTGCATTGGAGATGACAACCTGAAACATGAGTGGGAGGACATGCTCCAGGTCTATCAGGGGAACTGTGGGACCCTGCCAAGAGAGGGGAGAGCTCTTCAGTAGAGGATCCACGCAACCAGACCAGCTAAACTCTTCATCCCCTTTGAGTATTATTTACAACTGGCCTAGTGCCAAAAGAATTATGCAGTGGCTTTCATAAATGGCACGTGTATGATCAATTGCAAAATAAATATTCTTGAGTATCATCTTATGGTCCTACTTTCCAATTCCTTTACCCTAAAAAGTAAACTTAAATGTTTGGATGTTTTCCCCTCCTGATATGTCCATTGTAAAATAATTAAATAACTCAGAAATACACAAAAATTAATGCTTTCCATAATCTGCCCCTTCACCAATGTCCAGGAGATAACAGCTATTAACGGATTAATGAATAGCCTTTCAACCTTTTTCTAAGTACATTAACATGTAACACATGTAAAACAAATTAGCAATTTTAAAGTTATTTTTCTTTCTTTAAATACTGCCCATTAACTTACTTTGTTTCCAATTCTTCATTATAAATACCATTTAGATAAAGAGCCTGTGGTTTACAATGATAATTACAGGGATTGGAATGAATTTATGATTCATTCTCTCTCTCGCTAGGTTTATATACCAAGAGGGAGCACGGTGTGAGTTGTTATCTACAGTGTGATTCAAGAGGGCACTATGTGTATAATATGAAAACAAAGCACCGAAGAACAACAACAAAAAATGTTCTCAGAAATAAAAAATGATTCTCAAGAAGGCATGCCCTTGAAGGGGCAGCCTGTGGGGTTACTGGTGTCCAAGAATGAAGAAGGCATCTAGATAAGGACTGGGCTGGTGTGGGCTGCAGTCAGAGCCCAAGCATGGGGCAAAGAGTTTCCATATCAGGAACAGCAGAGTACAAATGGGTTGAGGAAGGCATTCCCAGGAATCACGCTCAAGAGTCAAGAGTTGAGCTCTGAATGGGGGCATCAGTGTGGCAGTGCAGCCTGAAGTGAGTGTCTGAGCACATGTGGAGGGGTGAGGGCGTCCATGTGGGGAGTTTAGCCTGGCATGCATTTTCATGAAGCCTAAGGAGAATGTTGTGCTGAGTAACAGCCTGCTGTGGGTGAGGGTGGCCTCAATGCAAGGGGGTACCCTGACATCAGGATAGCCCCAGGCACGGAAAGGAAGTATTCACCAGTAGAGGCACAGGGCAGAGTGTCAAGAGTCTAGAGGGAGACAAGGACACCTCTGAAAGAAGAAGAATGGCAGCTGGGAGGTTGATCAAATAAGTAATCATATAAATGATAATGGGATCTCGGATCTCACTGTTAAAGACAGGAGTTATAAAGACAAAAAAGGAAAAAACTAGAATGAACCTGTGGTTTATGATGATAATTGCAGGGATCAGTATGAATTTATGACTCATTCTTTATCCCTGTACATTTATATACCAAAAGGAACACATGGCTTTTCATGTCAGACACATGCCCCTGTGAACTGTGACTGATTCGTTAATCATTTTCAACTCTCAAGCAAAAATTATTGCTAAGTCTGAGCATCTCCCAGCAAACACTAAAAAAGGCCCTTGGATCAAAAGATCTGAGGACCAAATCTTTGGTACTGGGGACACCTCCTTTCCCCAAAACTCTGCAGACTTGAGAAATTCTGTTTCATCAATGTTCTGTCCAATTCCTCTCTGTTCAACCCCCCTCCCACCAAAAAAAGGAGACTCTTATAAAGATGTCAGTAATTCCTAAATTAATATGTAAATTCAATGAAAGTGCTAGCTGAATCCTTGGTAAAAAATTATTCTGAAGTTCAAAAAGAACTTCATTATGGGGCTGGGGCTGTAGCTTAGTGGCAGAATGCTTGCCTAGCACATGGAGGCACTGGGTTCGATCCTTAGCACTGCATAAAAAAATAAACAAATAAAATAAATGCATGCTGTCCATCTACAACTACAATTTTTTTTTTAAAAAGAAAAATATGCAGAGTCCAGAAAATTATAAAAAATAATGAAGACATATCTGAACTGTCTAGACTCTTTGAAGACTTTGGGATTAAGTTATCAAAACAAACAACAAACAAAAAGGAGAGAAAAATCGATTAAAAGAGACTAATAAGTATGCCATGTAAATGCAATGCAATTCTTCAGTGGATTCTGATTTTTTAAAAAAATTGCTTGAAGGAATATTTTAGAAAAATCTGTATATAGCCTCTATATAAGATAAAACTACTCTATCAATGTTAAAATTTTAAAATATGATGATGACACTGTAGTTATATAGAAGATTGTCTTTTTAGGAGACACATGCTGAAGTGTCAGTGATCATTTCAAGTTATTTTCAAAACTTGGAAAAAAATATAAGCAATATGTAAATATGCAGAGATAAATTCACAACTAGTAAATCTATATAGATTTTCATTCATTCTTTCAAATTTTTCTTAGCTTAAAATTTTTCAAAATAAAATAATAGAAAAATGATTATAATAAAGCCAGTAAACTGTAATATATACTACACACACACACACACGTATAAACATACATACATACAAAATGTAGTGGGGACTCAATGAAGAAAATAATTTTAATTGAAAATTCCTCCCTCAGGGGTACACAGATGACTATTATTAACAGTCTGCTTCAGCATCTAGTATAACAACATTTTTTTTTTTTTCTGAGTATGACATTACCCCCTTTACAAAGAAATGCTGCCTGTCTCTTACCGACTTTAGGGGAGGTAACATGGCTGCTAGTAATCCCAAAATCCTCTTCTGGGAACACTCAGCGAACACCTGCTCAGGGTTGGGAGTAACTGCCTTTTCCTCTATTGGCTCCTGAGGTGACACTTCTGAATTTTCAGCATCTGTGTTGTAAAATGCCAACTTTCAGATTTTGCCACATTCTATACATGCCAAGTAAATCACTGTGCTATCCTGTTCCAGAGTAATGCTGGAACTTTAAAAAACTATTGCTGAGCACATTTTTAAGATGTCCTCTTCTCAAGGAAGCCTGCCTGCTCCCTATGGAATGGGCAGTTACCCTCTCACACCTCCCCATTCTTCTGACTCTGCTCTTAAATTAGATGCTAACATTTTATCATTTAACATTTCATATTTATTGTCTGCCCTACTGATTTTTATCTCTTTCAGTATTGTACCCGGGCACCTAGAAATGTCTCTGGAGCATGGTAGGTAGTTGACAATACTTGCTGCCTATGAACCAGCATGCTGGTCCTCAGGGGAATCCAACTCCAGAGGACTTTGATGGCCTGGATGGATGTGGAGTGTCAGCCCCTTCTGAGAGCTGGTTCCATATATGAGGCAGAATGCCAGGTGCTCAGTCCCACCTCCACACAGAGGGCTGAAGGAACAGATCTTCCACCAGGGGCTGCAGTAAGAAGGAGGCTGAGGCTTGCTTCTGATCTCTTCAGCCACAGCATCATGCATGAATTCTCTAACAACCTGGCTCTCGCCTTGCCATTGCATTCCTTAGGCAGGCTGAGAAGCCTGGAATCCCTAGGCAAGCAGCTAAAGCCTTTGCAGAGGAACCCCACTGAAGAGGTCTCATTTTATCTTGTATCCCATATCTACACACCTGCCAAGAGGGACTTCTCCTCTATATTGTTCCGGGATTTTCCTACTTCAGGGTCTTTGCTCATGGTGTACTTTCTGCCCTGAATGTTGATCCCTACCACAGATCCTCATATATCAAGGTCCCTTATGACACTTACCTACACCTCTGTCTTAAGTTCTCCTAGGCTATGAGCTTCAGCAGGGAAGTGGGGGTGGAATGGGGAGGTGGGAGGGAGGGAGGCTCTGTGTGTCTCTCTGAGTCAGTCTCTGTTCTCCCCAGGGTCTAGCATAGTGCTTGGCACATGGGAGACACTCAATAAATACAGGAAATAAATAAGGTGGGAAAGCAGTCAAAGTGAATGAAAGGTGACTTCAAAAATTGTGTAAAACCAACAAGCTCAGGCTAGAGTACATTTGAAGATGAAAGAGATAAGGTACTGGCCAGATATTCTTTACCTGGAAGTCCTGGAGGTATGTGAGCATCTGCAGGTACATTTGGAGTGTGGGTCTGGCCTGAATGATCCTTCATGAACAAGATACCTGCATTTGCCTTACTTCTCTGCTTGTAATCCAAAGGTCTGATTTCCTTGTCTGCAGCTCTCCTTCCCTAAAAACATGATGGTGTGTGTATAAGAACTAAGGTTTTTAATAACAAAAATTTATCCTATTTATAGTACAATTTTATCATTAGTTTTAATAAATTAAAAAACTTCTGAATTCATTATTAAAAATGCCACTCATTTTTTAAATACATCTATGATTCATTAAGATAGTAATCATTGTGTCACATTCCTCCAAACATCTTCCAAATGCCCCTGTTAGACCTTGTAGTCACATAAGCAATGGCTCTATTCCAGATCTTTAATACATTCTGTTTAGCCAGGTATGGAAAGTTCTTCCCTTGGGAAAAAGAAAAAGTTATCCATTTCCTTCTAGTATACCATGGTGACTATGTTTGATGTATGCGATGTATGTTCTTTTTCAATAGAAAAGCAAATTTTTATCATTAGGAAAAAAGTTTAGATTTCATATTATTATGAAAATATGACTATACCAAATCTAAAGCCTAGAAGCATGATACTGTTTCCATTCCACTGATGTAGACATTTTATTGATATAGAAATTGGTATTTGGAATGGTGGGGGGATGTAGCTCAGTACCACAGGGCAGTGGTGTTGGGGGGAGAGTTACTTCTGGGCATGTTGATGCACCTTTATAATTTCAGCAATTTGAGAGGTTCAGGCAGGAGGATAGCAAGTTTAAGGCCAGCCTCAGTAACTTAGCAAGACCCTAAGCAACTTAGTGAGACCCTGTCTCAAAAATTTTTTTTAAAAAAGGGCTGGGGATGCATTTTAGTGGAAAAGTGCCCCTGGGTTGAATCCCCAGTACAAAACAAAACAAAAATTTAGAAATTAGCATTCTTAGGCTGTGGGACAGAGTTGTGGGCTATGTATCTATCAGTTTTCTATAAAATCTACTTTGTGTTAATACGGTAGGTGTTGATAAATCTATTGCATATACCACTTGGTCAGGGCTGGGAATATAGCTCATTTGGTAGAATGCTTGCCTTGCATGCACAAGGGCCTGGGTTTGATACCCAGCATTAAAAAAAAAAAAAAAAAAAATCACAACAGATATAATTTGAACAAACAAACCAGACACCATTTCTAAACCACATACTTGCACCCTCTTTAACACATTCTGGTATTAGTTGTTCTCTATTTTAACAAATGAACAAGCATACCTCTGTTGCCCTTTTGAGAATCTCATCTGGCAATGAGACTTGTTAAGGGGGCTCTTGCTGAAGCTGGGAAACTTCTGGGATTAGGAATCTGAGGGTGAGCTGCCCAACATGCAAGATGACAGCCCTCAGTCTGCATTTTCTGAGCAGGGGTCAGAAAATGAATGCGTGTGCATCAGGACCTTAGGGTCTTTCCCCCATTGTCACGCAGACTTATATGAGGTATCTAAGTGATGTGGGAAGACTTCAGTGTGTGGTAGAGGCAGCTCAGCTCTTAGTTTGGGAAATCCAAATTTGATTGCCTCTCTGCAGCCAAAAGTGAAGTGTCATGTAACACCAAACATACAGGGGAAGGTATGTCCTCTCCCAGTGGGAGCTAACTTATGCTTCCCCCTTTCTGGATACTGTTAGCTGACATCAGTCCTAACCTCCTGAGAATGGATACAGACCATTTTAAGAGACAACTGTGACTCTGAGAGGTACTTGCCTTACTGAAAGATCTCAATGTGCTCCCTGTACCACGTGCCACTGTGTGAAGACAATGTAATTCCAAAGTTCTGGTGAATGATTTTAATGTTTATCTTAAACATAATCTTTGTCTTAAAGGTCCTTACCTTAAATATTAAATAAAAATTATTTTATATTCATCAGACAGTCCTTTTAAGTGTCACTATCACAGGTAATACCTGGACCCAGAAAGGCTTTTCTGTCTATGCAACTACATATAAACTTATGGTGTCTACTTGCTAAATAGTAAGATTTTGGTATCAACTATTTGTTGATTGAACATAAAAATACCTACACATATACAATGCTTACCAAGGACTAAGAACTTCTTTAGTTGCATATCTTGTTCAGTCATTAGGAAAACCACCAGGAGGCAGATAATAGGAATAGTTAACAATGACATGGAACTTACCATGCACACGTTCTAATCACTTACATATTATTTCAAAGTGTATAAGATAACTCCTCACAACAACCATATGTCATAGGTATTGCTATTATCATCCCCATTTTACAAATGAGAAAATGGAGGCAGAGATTGTAGTAATATGACCAAGATCTGACAGAGCAGGGATGTGAACCCAGCAGCCCGATCTAGCGAGGATCTGTACTTTTAACATTTTAGCTCTGCTTCATCATGTGAATGGCTCTCAGAGCTCAACTATGACTCTGCATAGAGAAGTGCTATTTACATTGCAGTGCACAAAAGAGCCTGCCTCTGCCGGCTCCTCAGCAGGCTGGACCACTTTCTTCTCTAGCTGTTCCTCTGATGTGCGGGTAGGTACGCTAAGTGGGAGGGATTGGTTTTCTGGCGTAGAGTCACCATCTGGCAATATACCAAGAAGAGCGAGAGCTTTAAGACCTATAAGGGAAGAAAGAGAATAGTTAAAAGTTTATAACAAAGATTATTTCATGCAAAAGACTCAAATCACTTATCACTGCATAGAAACAGATGGCTGAGGTCTACACAAACCAAAATCAGGAGAACTTAATAAAAACATCCCTGGCTATCTACATCTATTTAGTTCCTGACTTCAGAAGGTGAAAGTCTGGACATTTTATTATCAAGAAAACACAGAAGATACAACAGGATTGTCTGTTTCAAAAATTAAAAATATTATACTTTCATAGATGTGCCACTAACTAGATTTCTAAATTCCAATTGGCAGATAAAAACTTGCTCTGATGTAGGCTTGGGTTACAGCTCAGTGGTGGAGTGCTTGCCTCACATGTGTGAGGCACTGGGATTGATACTTAGCACCACATAAAAATAAATAAAATAAAGGTACTGTGTTCGTACTGTGTTCATCTACAACTGAAAAAAAAAAAAAAACTTGTTCTGATGCACTGATATTACCCATTGCTATCTAATGTAGGTCTGATTCTCTAAAATAACCAGAATGGGGAGTTCATTATCAGAGAGAAATGTGAATTTCTCAGAAGTTAAACATTTTTCTTTTTTCTTTTTCTTTTTGGTGGGCATACCAAGGATTGAACTTAGGGGCATTCAACCACTGAGTCACATCCCCAGCCCTATTTTGTATTTATTTAGAGACAGGGTCTCACTGAGTTACTTAGTGCCTCACCTGTTGCTGAGGCTGGCTTTGAACTTGCAATCCTCCTGTCTCAGTCTCCCAAGCTGCTGAGATTACAGGCGTGCGCCACCGTGCCCAGCTAAATATTTACTTTATTCCTAACATCCTTGGTGAAGTCAGATCAACTATTTTACTTATAAATATCTCTCATCTAGAATAGTTACATGGAAATAGATTTGTACTTCATGTTAAAAATAATCTAGACTTCCTCATGAAATTTAGTAGATCAAAATACTAAATAATCCAATTACAGTTTAATAATTAGAGTTTTAATTATTAATACTTTCTTATATCTTCATGTAAATATTTTAGAGAAACTAAATGCCACTTGAATGCTATCATTTCTCTCAACTGAATCTGTGGACTTGAGTACCACACCAGGTGAGCCCCTCGTGTGGAATACTGGACTCTTCTACCTCTGGGTCGAGCAGTCTGAGGGTTGGTCCTGGTTTCTGGGCATGATGAATAGTCACCTTTCCCCTGGTGAGCCTTCATCAGACAGTCGCCGACAAGCTGCATGCACTGGCTCCGCAGGATGATGGCATTGCTGTGGGCCTGGGGGTCCAGTCTCTCCCCATCTACAACCTCTGTGCTGGCCAGGTGTGCACTATAGAGAGCCAGGGCGGCAAAGAGCAGCCAGGAGTAGTTGTGGATGTAAGGCTGGATGAGCCTCTGCCGGTCACTGATCCGAATGGTCACCATGGGGTGGGCTGTGATGCTGTGGGTAGGCAAATGGCTGCAAAGGCAAGATATATGTAAGGCCTATAGAGTTTATGAAGCTCCAAAGAGAGGCCCAGGGCATGTGTTTAGTTGCTTCTGGGATTAGTCACCTCTAGGCTGTAGTTATTCAAAGGTTAAAGACAAGAAAAATGAACAAACACAAACATAGAACATAACATTACATTACAGAATTTTGTAATTTTTTGGGTGGGATATCAGGGATTAAACCCAGTGGCACTTAAGCACTGAGCCACATCCCTAGCCCATTTTTTTTTTTTTTTTTTTTAGAGAGAGAAATTTTTTTTTAATATTTATTTTCGGCGGACACAACATCTTTGTTTGTATGTGGTGCTGAGGATTGAACCCAGGCAACCCGCATGCCAGGCGAGCGCACTACTGCTTGAGCCACATCCCCAGCCCCCTATTTTTTTTTTTTTTTGAGACAGGATTTTAGTAAATTGCAAAGGGCCTCTCTAAAATTGCTTCAAACCATGATCTTCCTGCCTCAGCTTCCTGAGCTGCTGGGATTACAGGCATGTGCCACCATACCTGGCTCAGGATTTCATAATCTTTAGAGAACTGCCTGTGGAAAACAGGCTAAGAAGTCCCTTTTGTGAATTTTGCAAGGCATGGTGTTTTGGTAATGTGAGAAAACACTTATAATCTTTAGACAAAGTACATGGGAAAGAAGTTATTTAAGGTCTCAAATTTGCTTCAAGATGTTTTTATAAAGAAAAAAAAAGAAATAAACTAAACACATATAACAAAATCTTCCTAATTGCTGAATCTGGGCAATGGGTATAGGAAAACTCACTGCACTATTTTAGGGTATGTTTGAAATTTTCTGTAATAAAAACCTTATTTAGCCTGGTGTGGTGGCACACTCCTGTAATCCCAGTAACTTGGGAGGCTGAGGCAGAGGATCATAAGTTCAAGGCCAGCTTCAGCAACTTGATGAGGCCCTCAGCAACCTGGCGGGGCCCTAAGCAATTTTCTAAGACTCTGTCTCAAACTGAAAAATAAAAAGGGTTGAGGATGTAGCTCATTGGTTCAGTGCCCCTGGAATTCAATCCCTAGTACCACAAAATAAAAGGAGGGCTGTGGGGTATAGTTCCATGGTAGAGCACTTGCCTAGCATGTGTGAGGCCCTGGGTTTGATCCCTAGTACCACTGAAAAAAAAAAAAAAAAAAGAAAAAGAAAACAATAAGAAGCCCTCTCTTTAAGTGAAGAAATAAATAAAGAAAAGGTTACATGGCTCTAAGTCACCTGAGACCTACCCATAGGAATATTTCTTTGCGGCATAGCATCCATAGCAAAGATCAAAGTCATCACACACATTGCAATTCATTCTCCGGCCTATAATCAAACCCTGGCAGTTGTCACAGGTAAATTCCATGTTGACCATTTCATGGTCATCTCCATGGCCCTCAGGCTTCACTCCACCTGGAGAAAAACAGGAGTATTAGGTGGATAGGGCACAGGGCTCCCAGAAGTTCTAACAAACCAATCTCAGTACTAGAATTGCTCCCAATTTACTGTTCAGGAAGGTAGGAGCTGCAGGCATCCTTTGGAGACCAGGACACTCTGCCCCAGTGGCTCTGAGCATGTGAATGACAATACCAGTACAGAATTGCTCAGCAATGTTGACCCTGCTTCTCCAGTGCCACAGTCTGATTAAATAAATTACCAATTCCCATCATGAATGTTGTTTGGCAGAATCAAATCTATGCCAATTTGTGAGCTGTCTCCCATGACTCTCCTCTGACAAATATGAAGAATCTGTAGGTATGTTCCTCAGCAAACACTAAGGAATGATCAAGTATTTGCTCTTACTTTTTCATTCAAGAACCACAGATGTAAACAGACTTCATAACCTCAGATCTAGAGAGTAGAGATTTAGATGATAGACGTGGAAAGTACTGGCTAGTCAGGTGTGGTGGTGCACGTCTGCAATCTCAGCTACCTGGGAGGCCTCAGCCTCTGAGGCAGAGGATAACAAGTTCCAGGCCAGCCTAAACAACTTAGCAAAACCCTGTGCCAAAAACCAAACACATTTTTAAAAGGGCTAGGGATATAGTTCAGCGGTAGAGTGCCCTAGGGTTCAATCCCCAGAACTTCAAAAACAGGGAGATTGGTTGCTCTGCTCTCTTCCTATTCCAAGTCCAGCAGGACTCTAAGTCCTGATGTAGATTCTGCTTAATACTCCTCATATTTGACCACTTCTGTTCTCGCTGCCACCAACCAGGTTCAGGCTCTAATACTCTTATAACCACTGACTTCTAAAGGATACTCTCACACAGACAGAACTGTTTTCTCTATATATCTCTGATCATGTTAATATTATGCTTAGTAAACCTTCCCTATTATCTGTAAACTATTCAAATTTCTTAGCCTGGTATCTTGGGGTCCCACCTGTCCTAATCTATCACTTGGTTGGACAGACACTCAAGTGTGTCCATCTAAACTCACTGCAGGCATTCACTCCTCTCCTCCTGGGCTTATTCTATCCTTGATGGTGACCCCATCTTTAGAATTTTCTTTGACTCATCTAGTTCTTTTCTTCAAAGACCAAGTCTCATTCTACTTCTTCCACAAGCCTTTCCTACAGCAACACCATGGCTACTTCTTAACTTTTCCAGAAGAAATCTATACTACTCAATGATAACTCAGCATATACACCCTTGTATTGGAATAGACATCTGTGGATACAGTCAGTCTCCTGGCTAGATTATAAATGTTTCCAGAACAGGAGCTGTATCTAACCATGTATACACAGAGCAGTCCAATGTTCACTTCTGTTGATATGCTTTGCCTCACTCAGTACCTATGAGTTAAAGATTTTTTGAAGGTTTTCTTTGTGTGTGTGATTTGCTATTTGTAAATACTGCATGATTCAGAAGCAAAAACTATTTCCTGAGGTCTGGGGATGTAGCTCAGTGGTAGAGCACTTGCCTAGCATCGATGTGCCCTGAATTCAATCCCTAGTACCACAAAGAAAAAAAAAAATTCCTGGAAACCCAACTAAACATATATCCATTGGTCCTGAGTATTTATTAAGTGCCCACCCAGCACAGTGGGAGATGAAAGGCTGTCATATAAGAGCAGTGGACCTGATCACTGAGCAGGGGAGATAGAGCCAGAGTCAGAGGATACCAATGGGCAGTATATCTATTTAGTAAAAGGAGGGTTTTAAAAGACGGCCAGATCACAGAAAATAGGAATAATTATGACTGTTGAATATGACATACTTAGTCTTTGAAATTTACCTAGGAAGCAAGTTTTGCACAGATCCATGTCACTGCACTGTAGACACCGGTAGCGATGCCAGGGAGCAATCTCATCACACCCATCACAAGAGATGTCCACATTTAGCAGATCACAGTAGCGAGCAATAAACATGTGCATCTGTAAAGTGAAATAAACACAATTAACCATGAGACTTTCTAATGTGGCCACTATTCATTAACCAACTCATTCATTCAATAGGTACTCAAGATGACCCAGGCATTATACTAGGTGCTAGGATTTGAAGCTGAATAAACTAAGTGTCTAGTTGGGAAATCCTTTAAGCAAGCAGATGATGACCATCTGGGTGTGATATGTGCTTTCACATACAAATTTGGGAGGCTTACAGAACATAGAGAATGGCTATCAATGGGTATTAGGAGGGTCAAGGAAGGTTTTCCAAAGGAGATTAATTCCTCAGTTGAGACCTGAGGGAGAAAGAGGTACTAGCTGGGAGCGGGTAAATGTGGTTAGACATATCAGATAAAAGTAAAAGATATAGAAAGTTCTACAGGAAGCAAAAGACGGCAAGACAAGGGTTTATGAAATTGGCAATAACCCTTTATGTAGAATATAGAGAAGGCGGGGGAATAACCAGATGAAGTTGAAAAGGTTAAACCACAAGGAACTTGAATGCTAGCCTAAGGAGCTATTGACTGTTTTTAAGTAGGAGAGTAATGGAATTAGATTTGAATGTTCTGAAAGTTCCCCTGATCACTGAGTAAAACAAGGGATTGAAGAGGGCAAGACGAAAGCCAGGGAAAATGATGACAACAGAAGCTGTTCAAATGGACAGGTAACATGGCCTGGAACTGAGCAAGAAGTTGGGTAGGGGAAGGTGAGCAGACTTGAGAGGTATTCAAGAGGCAGAAGTGAGAAACCTTGGTGACTAACTTGATGTGGGGTTCAGTAAAAGGGAACGGCCAAGAATAGCATCCAAATATTTAGTTTGGGTTTTTGGCTGGATATTGGTAGTGTTCACAGACACAGGAAACACTGCAAAAGGTGCATTTTCTTTTAAGTGCTAAGAAACAAACTTTTGGCCAAATTATATTGTTATATTGTGTGCCTACACCAATATGTAACAACAAATCCCATCAATATGTACAACTACAATGCACCAACAACAAAAAAATGAGGAAATTAAAAAAAAAAAACTTTAGGGAGATAGTAAAGGCACTGTTTCATAAGCAAGCAGATTGTTTACTGGAAATATTTGGAGGCTATAGTACAGTTTATCTTTAGGGCCTAGAAATGAAGGAACTAAATATGTAAGTCACATATAGTAGTAGATATGTAGTAGCAGAGGAAATATGCCCATCATTTGAGAAATACAGAATGGCTCCAAATAAGGTATTAACATAAAAGAGAGAAAAAGTCACAAGGCTCAATTGTGGGCCCAGAGAAAAATTCCAAGCACCGCAGAAGTGCCACATGAGCAAAGTGGTCAGTACAAGTAGGCACTCAAGCATAAAATACGAATGACTCTGAGGCAGCAGAAGCCTGGCACCTGTGGTAGCAACAAAGTTAACACCTAATGTGGAGGTGGATGGATAGGCCACCTGAGCCAGGTGCCTTACTCATCTGCATCATGCAGTTCTGACTGCAGTATACAGATGGCTGCTTCCTCACTCATCAGACAACCCTCCCTGGTGCTTGCCTCCATGAAGAAAATGTGCTACCCAAGGCCACAAGAACCCAGGTCCTGTAACAATTCTATTTCTCACTGTAAATTAACGAATTGATACCTAACACAGTACATCAGCCTTGTAAGACACTCTTTTTTGAGTCTAGTTCTGTGGGAGGGGGCCACTGACAGTCACATCAGCATGCAGAGCCTCTCAGGTTAATACCAGATGTGAAGGTCCAGAATGCCCTCTCAGGAGAAATCCTGCCAGCAGGCCCAAAGCACACCCTCCTCTCCAAACTCCAGATCACTCTAATTGGGAGGTCTTACTTTCCTCTGCTTCTCTGGATCCTCCTGGGCTATTTTTTCATACCAGGCCTCAAACATGCCATCCTGACACTCATCCATCCACTCTGAGTTCTGCTTGGCATCAGCAAGCTCATCTTCTTCACTCCACTGGCTAAAAGGAGGGCAAAAAGAGAAAAAAAAGCATAAAAAAAACAAACAACAACAACAAAAAACCGAGATGGGGGGAGGGAGAGGAAGGGAGGAGAGAAGAAGAAGAGGGAGCATGCATCTCTGGATATCCAAGGAAAGCGCTAGTTAGCAGACTCCATGACTTATGGGTCTAATAGAGTGGGCAATTTTAAACATTTTAAGAGAAAAGTCAATTACTTTTAAAAACTGCAGGGTTTGTCTACTATTTGCTAGATATATGCTAATAAAAATGGAGAAGCCCCTTTCAGAGTAGATTACCCTGGGTGAGGTGAACCAATCATGTGCCAGGCTCTTGGGCCAAAACAGTGATTAAAAAAAAAAAAAAGTTCTATACGGACATGCTTAGAACATCCTAGTGGAATCAGCACAAAAAGGGAGTCAGGACATATGACTTCGGCTCCACCACTAGCTGCTACAAAGCCTTGATTCATTAGAGTAGGCCCTCTGTATCTGTGGGTTCTATAGCCCAGAGTTCCATGTCCCTAGATTCAACCATCATTGAATCAAAAATTAGAAAAAAAAAAAATTGTGTCTGTTCTGAATCAGTTTTTTCTTGTCATCATTCCCTAAACAATGTGTAACATCGTGTAACAATGTATAAATAGCTATAGCAATGTAATAGCTATTTAACTTAATAGCTATTTAGGTATCATTTATATTATATTGGATATTATAAGTAATTTAGAAATAATTCGAAGTATATGGGAGGATGTGGGTAGTTTATATTTTATATAAGGGACTTGGGTATCTGCAGATTTTGTTATTGGTGAGGGGTCCTGGAACCAATCTCTTAAGGATACTGAGGAAGACTGTATTTTGCCCTTGTCCTGTCTCCTCATTTTAAATAAAGGATTTCAGGTAGATAATCTCATGGGCAGGTTCCTTTTAGATTCAAAACTATAAATTTCCATCATTTCAGTTTTTTTTTTTTTTTTTTTTTTTTTAGAATTTTTTAATATTTATTTTTTCAGTTCTTGGCTGACACAACATCTTTGTTCTTTGTTTGTATGTGGTGCTGAGGATCGAACCCGGGCCGCACGCATGCCAGGCGAGCGCACTACCGCTTGAGCCACATCCCCAGCCCCTTCAGTTTGTTTTAGCAACAAGTATTTTAAACACAAAATGATTTGCTTGATAGCAAATGCAAAATGTTCCAACCAACAAATAAATATACATTCATTCACGTATCCCACCAAAATGATTTTAGGTCTATTCTTCATAGCTTTGGGCTAGTGCCAGGAAGGATTGGTGTGAGGGGTGTGACCTACCCCCAAAGACTGTATCATGTAGATGCAGACAAAGCTTGAAATAATGGCAGACTGACAGAAGATGAAACCGCATGTTGATGCCCACCCAGCATTGTGTTCCCTCTCTCTGCCCTCATTGCTCTCTGGCAGCAGATCAAGGCTGTGTCTTCTTTTCTCAGAATATCTCTCCTGAGAGTAAAAATTGCCTCACTGATTTATTTCTTCCTCATTCTCCCCTCTTGAAGCCTGCTCCCTCCAACTCTATTTTCTTCTTTCTTTTCACACACACAAGTAGATAATGGTAAGTGTACCTGGACTTTGAAGAGACATTCGTCAAAAATGGAATGAAAAAAAAAAAAAACAAACTTGCAAATTATTTTTTCTTATAAGGTAAGTCCTTATATAAGTCCCTATATTTATTAGAACATAGTGGCTAATATAGAGGCTGATTGTGTTATCATCTTATCTCTAAAGATGAGGAAACTGAGGCACAGAGGGATTAAATAACTTGCCCACAGTCACCCAGCCAGTGTGTGGCAAAGCCCAGGATCTATATTACACAGACTCTTGCTTTGGAGCCCATGCCCTTCACCCTTATGCTATGATCCCTGTATCTTATCATCTACTTTAGGAATTGCGGAATACAGGACCGTGTTCTTACCTGATCACACTGTCATGGACACTTATATTTTCCTGTGACATTTTCATGAGGAGATCTGGTAACTGAATGTCAACGAAGAAGGCAAGGTCACTGGGTTCCCAGCCCATATCCAACAGATGAAGCAGGGCTGTCTGAACACAGGATAAGGCAGGCAGCAGGGATCTAAGGGGGAGGCCACAAAAGTGACAGTTAACAGAGCTGTCCATAACCAACATAACGACAACAGGGGCAATGCAAGTCAGTATCTTATCTGTAATAGGAAAGCAGAAACACTCATATTCCATACAAACGTCTTCCAAAGATTAAGCAAAAGAAGACTGAAAGGTGTAAGGTAAGTTCTCCATTCTGCCAGGACTACTACAGGGCCTTCTTTACAGTAGAGGCTGAGCAGTAAAGGTCAGCAAATTGGGCCACCCCAAACTAGCTAAAGTTATGCAATTTAGATTTACAGAAGAGACATATGACTTAAGGTTTATATCTAAACCACTTAGTAAGGAGGATACTGAAAAATAGTTTTATACTCAAGTTTTAAAACTACAAATAATACATCAAAAACTAAAAATAATAGGTTATAAAACTCCTAGATAAAACAAAACTCATACTTAATGTACATATCAAACAGAAAAAAGACTAGCAAAAAATATACTAATAAATTAACATTAATGAATAGTTCTAAATGATAAGATTAGAGGCTATTTTTATCTTATCCTTTCTTTTCAACTTTGCAGAAAAAAATACATTTTTTTCCTCTAGAAGTTAAAAAGTCATCCAGTACCTGTCATTTATGCTATTAAATCCTTTAATTGCTTTGACCAAAAACATAACAAGTTGATAGTAAGTGTCTCGAATTTCTTTGTGTAGATCAGCACCACAGCCTTCCAAGTGTCCAAAGTAACTAGAAAGAAAGGAAACCATGGACTTAATTGCCAAGACAGCTTTTATTTAATAATCCTATTCCTTACATGAAAGAGCCCAGAAGCAGCACGCTGAACAAAGTGGTGCTGAAACTTAAATGATAACAGGAGTAATAATTTTAGAAAGTAATGGAGAAAACAGCAAGTGAGTCAAATTGACCAGGTCAAGAGCTACCTCACAGAAGTTTGGAGATGATTAACTATTCATCTTTCTTTTATTTTATTAATAAAAAAACCATGCCTCCCCCCCACTCCTTGAGTGCCAGATACTTTGTTAAGTATTTTTCACAAATTATCTCATTTAATAATCTCCACATAATCATGCCCACCCTTCTGCCTCCCTTGATGACTTTAGTACTAAGGTCACTGGCTTTTCTACCTTCATCCTTTTTATCTTAGTGACTTCAACATCCCTAGGAGTGATACCACTATTCCTTTTTCTCTCAAACCCTCTGCCACCTTCATTGCCAAGGATCTTCTCTTCCATGCCCTTAGCCATCCCAAGTTGATGGTCATTTCCTTGACACTGTCATCAAATGATGGCTGACTTCAGAGCATGCAACTCTGCCTACAACCTCTCATCCTGCTGTCTTACTGTGGACTCTCACACAATCTCTTCTTCAATTCCAAATGAGCCCTGGCCCATGCCAACTCTCTGGCTTCCTTCTACTTCCATCTGCTTGCTGAGAAATTTTATACTTGTATCAAAACTGCTGTATGTAGCTAGGTCACATAAACAAGTGGACCAGTGTCACTTTAAATTCATGACTGTAATTCTCAAATAAGCACTTAGAAATATTATAAGGCAGTCTCATAGACTGATTTTCTCAATTTTCATATCATCTAGAACCTTCTTGCTTCTCCTTAAACAGCCTTCTCAACCCTCCATTTTTTGATGACTATCCTCACATTTTACTTTAAAAAAACATAAGTGATCAAAGGAAATCCCTCATCTTTGTACCACCAATTTAGCAACCAACTTGCATCTGCACTGAACTGTCTGTCTATCCTGTTTCTTTCTGCTATCACAAAGCTACCCTGATTCTGTGCAAAGCCAAAATCAACTCCACAGCTGCTACTGCAGACTATCCCCACTTCCCCTACATTGGCTTCCCCTCCTGCTGATTCATTCCCATCAATATTCAAAAGCATTCTAACACCTCAGTGGCAATGCTGGGAGTGTAGCTCATGGTAGAGCATGTGCTCAATCCCCAGCACCACAAAAAATCAAAACAAAATAAAATCCTTAGTTGTCCCACATCCCCCCTTCTCTGCTCCCTTCTAAGTTCAAAATTTTTGAACTAATTGTCTTTAGTCTGTTTTTGCCTCATATCACCCCCATTCTCTTTCAATCCAGTCCAACTGGGCTTTCAGCCCCCTGGGTCCACTAGGATTTTTGCCAAATACAGTGTGTTTTTATCTCACTTCTTGCACCAGCATTTGACACAGCTGACCATTCTTTCTTTTCTTTCTTTTTTTTTAAATGTCAATGGACCTTTATTTTTAAAATTTATTTATTTATATGCAATGCTGAGAATCAAACCCAGTGCCTCAACACATGCTAGGCAAGAGCTCTACCACTAAGCTACAACCCCAGCCCTACAGTTGACCATTCTTGTCTTTGGAGAAACATTCTTCTCTTGGCATCTATGGCACCACCATCCCTAAGTTTCTAATATATCTCAAGGGCCCTTTTGATAACATTAGCTGCCTCCTCTTCCTCTGTTTGATTTCTAAATAAAGATTCCTATATAAAGGCTCAATCCTGGGCTCCTTATTGTCTTTCTCTGCCCTCTTTCTAGGTCTCATCTGGTCTCTTGGTTTTAAAAACCATCTATAGCGGATGACAATTGAATTCTATCCCTCATCCTGACTTTTTTCCAGGACTTCTAACTCTAATCCCGGTCTTCCCGATATCATCTGGATATCAAAGAAGTGGTTCAAACAACATGGTCAGAACAAAACTTTTTATTCTTGCCCTATCCATTTCTTTCATATTCTCTTCCTCTGTAAAATACATCACCATGCACCTGGTTGCTCCGGGAGAAATCCTAAGAGTTTCTTTTCCCGTGATTCCTACCTTTCATTCACCCTTTCTGTCTAACCTACAGATAAGTCTGACAATTCCACCTCCAAAATCTATCCTGAAGGTCGTCCTTTTTCTCTATTTCTAGCAGCACTCCACAGTTCAAACCATCACCATTCCTTGTCTGCTTAGGACACAATAGTGTCCTATAATAACTACTATTATCCTAACTGCTTTTCTTATTTCCACTCTTTTCACACAGTGGCTAGAGGTATCTTTTATAAATCAAAGTGTGCTTCTCCTGGGCTTCAAAATCTTCAATGGTTTTTTCCATCTATAACTCAGTATAAAATTCACACATCTTGGTGTGATCAGAGTCCTGCCTAACTTTCTGACCTTGCCTTACGCCATTTCCCCTTTCACTCAGCCATGCTGTTATGTGAATTAATTCCTAGAACCTTTGTACTGTTCCTTCTACATCTTTCTCCTGACCTCAGCTGGTGAATCATCTTTTGGTTTACATGTCGTCTCCTCAGTCTGCTTTAACCTGACTACCCAAAGTGCGTAACTCTGTATTAAATCACCACATAGCAATATCACTATCTGATTCTTTATTTTTTTTTTTCAATCCTCCTGGTCCTGGGGATTGAACTCAGGGCCTCACACATGCTAAGCAAATGCTCCACCACTGAACTATATTCCCAGATCATTCTATTATTAGTAGTAGTATTATTTTGGTACCAGGGATTGAACCCAGGGGTGCTTAACCACTGAGCTACACCTCCAGCCTTTTTTTAATATATTTTTAAAAAAAAGTTTTTAAAGATTTTTTAAATATGGACACAATATCTTTATTTATTTTTATGTGGTGCTGAGGATTGAACCCAGCACCTTGCATGCGCTAGGCGGCTGAGCCCTCTACCGCTGAGCCACAATCCCAGCCCCCTTTTTTTTAAAAAAAATTTTAATATTTATTTTTTAGTTGTAGTTGAACACAATACCTTTATTTTATTTATTTATTTTTATGTGGTGCTGAGGATTGAATCCAGGGCCTCTCACATGCTAGGTGAGCATTCTACCGCTGAGCCACAACCCCAGTCCTCTTTTTTTATATTTTATTTAGAAACAGAGTTTTATTGAATTGCTTAGGGCCTCGCTAAGTTGCTTAGGCTGGCTAGAACTTGCTGCCTCAGCCTCCCATACTGCTGGGATTACAGGCGTGCGCCACTGCACCTGGCTCTTTTATTTTATTTTGAGAAAGAGACTCTTGTGAAGTTGCTCAAGCTGGCATCAAACTTATAATCCTTCTGCATCAGACTCTTGAGTAGCTGGGATTACAGGTGAGTGCCACTGTACCTGGCATTTATATATATACATATATATTTGGTTATAATTGGAAACAATACCTTAATTTTATTTATTGTTTTTATGTGGTGCTAAGGATTGAACCCAGTGCCTTGCACATGCTAGGTGAGCACTCTATTGCTGAACCACAACCCCAGCGCCCCTGGCATGATATTTATTTATGTATTTATTTTAAAATGCTCTCTCTTGCTCTTTAGTAGAGAATAAGCTCCATTAGAACCTTGTCTGCCTTGCCCATTATTATATACAATGCTTAGAGGGGTAGACACTCAAAAAATTATTTATCAAGCAAAGGCTAGAACCACCTTGAGAGATAGGTTAATATCATTACTGTAAATGAGCATTACATTTAGCTCAAAGCTGCCAGGGGCTGAATGACAGTATGGATACACAAGGAATACAATTCTGACTCTAATAAAATAAAGGTGGTAAGTCATCAGGAAGATTGAACATGTTCCTGGTACTTTCTAAAATGATATAACCCATTTTTCCTTAGAATGAGAAAATAAATTCAGCAAAAATATAACTTAAGACTCCCAAATAGAAATGACAGTTATTCATTAGAGAAGACAATTAGGACTTCTTTACAATGACCGCTGCTTGGTCTCCTTGCAGATTCAGCATTTGTACTTACTTGGTAAAATCTTTCTGACAGGTCAGGAGTTCCAACAGGAAAAGTATATATGGTGGATGGAAGCAGTGAGGCTGCCCAAGAGACTCTGTACAGTACTGAATTATCCTCAGGACTTCCAGGATGCTCTGGGCTTGGGCTTTCCTCAAGGAAAGAACCTTTACAACACTAGAGAAAGAATTCAAGTCAGGAATGCCCAGAAAACTCCTGAACTGGGGTGGAAAGAAAATGTATCCCCCACCCAAGTTCTGAAGCCATTTGAATGAAAAGGAGAGACTATTGTGAGGATTAGAAATAACATGCATGAACAGTATCAATATCTGTTTGCTATGTTAGGTCATCACTCAGCATTACAAATTAGTACACATTAACTGCAGAAACCCAACAACTCTATTTTTTTAGTACCAAGGATTAAATTCCGGGGCACTCAACCACTGAGTCATATCTCCAGCCCTATTTTGTACTTTATTTAGAGACAGGGTCTCATTGAGTTGCTTAGAGTGTCACCACTGCTGAGGCTGGCTTTTGAACTTGTGATCCTCCTGCCTCAGCCTTCCGAATAGCTGGAATTACAGGTGAGCGCCACCATGCTCAGCCCAACAACTTACTTTTAAAATTAAATAATTCAAAAGGAACTCTAACGTCTTTACTTCCCTGAAGAGACAAAGCTTTCATTCTTAGCATAAGAAATTCCTCAGTAACTTCAAACCCATCATACTTTCAAAGAGGTAGGTCTATGGCAAGTAATTTTGTCAGAAAACATTAAATTCTAAATTTCCCCCAGGGTTAAAATAAGACAAAATTTTAAGTGGCAGCTACCAAAAGAAATGCTTCGTCTTTTTTTTTTTTTTAAATCCTAATGATACATTGCTGGGCTACATTTTACAAATAGTATAATGTCCAAGTTTTAAGTGAAAAAAAAAATACTCATAAAGAAAAAAATTAAAAATTTTTCTTGAATATTCAAAATAAGACTTGGTTTATCCTAAATATTATCTGTTCTTTTTAACATGAACTTTAAGCCTTTGACTATACTGGGTACCTGTGTCTTGAAAAGACAGAATACTAGGAAGGAATGATTGGCTCACCTCTCATGAGAGATTGACTGATCTTTAATGAAGTCCATGACATCCTTTAAAACTGGGTATTTCTCTTTCACTGTGGGCACTGGTCTGGCCTCCTCCATGGATCTGAAGGAGAGCAGCCGGAGTCGCCCTCGAGTGAAGGGGGGCCGCCGGGTAGGTGTGGAAGGTGATGAGGGCTCTTCAGCTGTAGAAGGTTCTGCAGTGGGAGGGCCACTGCTGGGTGGCAACTTTGGTGGGATCTCCAAGCCAGGACTCTTGTCTCCTACAGTTGGGGCTGCTGTTTCAGTGGGTGACGCTGAGGCTTGGAAATGCTCTTCGACCACAGAGCTTGTCCTCTGGCGCCTGTCAAGTGGCTGGAGATGATCAGTTTCATCAGCAGTCACCACCTTGTCACTGCTTTCTTTTGAACTTTTAGCCATGGGCAAAAATTTTAGTAATAGAAGACTTTTCTGAATACACTCTTTTGCTAAATGAAACAAATAAAACAAGAATGGTAATGAACAAAAAATTAAAATTAAATATATTGCCTACTTTCAGAGAGAAAATAATCTATTTAAACTTTCTGATGTAGGGCAAGAAATACCTTCGTTAATACTGTGATATACACATGTACTGATGGAATAGAAACAAATTTTATCTCCTTATATAAAACCAAGATCTTTCCAGGACTATATTGGAATAGTTTCATGGTGAACATTTCAAACATATAGAGAACAGTGTAAGAACCTCTCAATATATCTATTATCCAGCTTTAGTAATTATTAACTCATAGCCAATCTTGTTTCCCCCACCCCCACTGGCTCCCATTCCCTGAATTATTTCCATGTACATCCTAGGGATCAGACTTTTTCACCTGTAAAAACTTCAGCATATTTGTTTTGTGCATATACAGTACTAGGGGTGGAACTCAGGGCCCTGCATGCTAGGCAATGTTTCATTTTCATACAGGGTCTCACAAAGTTGCTGAGGCTGACAAGGCAAGTAATCAGAAACATGTTCCACTTTAGAGCATGTCAATAAATACTTATTCCTCTCTGGCATTTTCTCCATTAGTGACAAGTATTAGGAAACAACATTTAGTAACTTTATTACTTTTGGTCTACGTGGCCTCAACTAGCGTAACCCGAAGGTAGGGTGCTGGTTCTCAAAGTTCTGAAAAGAAAACTGAAGGTCGGATGACCACAGCTGGCAGTGGCACACTCACCCAGGCTCTCTGGATTTGCCTCAGTCGCTTCCAAACTGTGTTTTTCTTCTGCCTCGCTCCCCAGGCTCATCAGGGACTTCTGTTTCATCTCTAACTGGGGAGAGGATTTGAGCCACAAAATTAAGCTGTCCAGATAGGGTGTCAAGGGCAGTTACACTGAAGTACTTCAAAGGCACACAGCATTGAAGAGCACAGAGGACTTTACAGCTGTTATTCAGCTGCTGAGGACACAGGGCTGAGCTGTTTTTGTATGTTCTGAAAGTCTTCCAGGCTTTGAAATTGTCTAAAGGTATATCTGCAAAACTACCTTCTTTTCAAGTACGTGTTATTTAGGAGGATTTTATATACATGACTTTATTAGTTAAAAAAATCTAAAACATTAGTATAGGAGATGCCTATAGTTAAAGCTTACTAGTACAAAGAAGCTGAGGTCTAGAGAAATTAAGGGTCAAGCTTGGACCAAAAAAATTTCATTTTTGAGATGGGCTCTCACTATATTGCCCAGGCTAACCTCAAATCCTTGGACTCAACTGATCCTCCTGCCCCAGCCTCCTGAGTAGCTGGGATTACAAGTGTATGCCACCACATCTGACTTAGACAAAATTTGATCCATTCTATCTTGAATGAGAAGAAACCCCTAAGTGCTGCTGAGACTTCTAGGTAGAGAATGGTGATTTTAGTTATAGTCCAGGCAATGGTCACACCATGAGCCACAATGCTGAAAGCTAAGGTAGAAGGCCATGTGTGATGTATGAGGTGTCAAGGTACCAAAGAGAAGGTTGATATGTTGTTCAACTATGGACAGTCTGTTCTAGGCTAACCCAGGAGCATAACCTACAATGTGCCTTGTCAATTGCCAAATCCTTTTTACATAAATTGTCCATGGTGTCTGACTTTCCTAAATACTTCTTTCTTTAAACTTTACTATATTGCCTTGGTTTCTCTGTCAGCATACTCTTCTGAATCTCTTCCCACCATTCTGAAAACAATGCCTTTTAGTTTCTTATGTCAGATTCTGTTCACTTTGGTTTCTATCTATTCAGGATATATTGGGCACTAACCAATGTTCTAGTCACTGTGTATTCTGTCCAAGGCTGTCTGTTCCTAGATAAATTCATATTTAAAAACAAAACAAAATAAAGAACTTATTACAAATTATTTAAAGTTTTCTTTATCTCTGCCTTGACATTTCTGTGAAGCATCATCCATTTAGGTTCTTTAATGAACTCTCCAGGTAGATGTCTTAGATAACCTAGATGTTTTTACACTCAACAGGTTCTAAACTGAACTTACCTCCTCACTCTCAGATCTAAGACTAATGCTTGGTCAACACTTCTATCATCCACCAAATCACCACCAGAAACCTGGGACTACTCTAAATTCCTTCTTCCTGTTCACCACTCACATCAATCACAAAGCCCTGTGGATTTTATCTCCTCAGTTGCAAAAGCCATCCTCATCTAATTACTGCAATTAAGTCTTCTGCTTTCAATTTCATTATCTATCCTCTACTCAAAGATTTTTTTTTCTCAATTACAACATAATATTTAAGATGCATGCAAATATGTAAGGAATAATAACACTAATATATAGGTACTCATCTCCATGCCTAAGAAATAAAAACAATTTAGTGTTTATCTTTTTTATGAATTTATAAAAAGTTTTAACTACATACTTATAGGTGTAACACACAGATTTGGTTTGAATTAGGATCTTACAAGGATTTCCACACTTCTGCATCCTTTTGCAATTTGCTTTTTTGTTCATCAAGTCTGTGAGAGTTATCCATGGTGATACATGTGGCTCTTTTCATTCACTTTCATTGTAATATAATATTACATCATTATATATTATTATAATGTAGTATTTTGTAATAATATAATATTCAGTATATCTTGTCACTTTTTCCTACTGATGGACAGCTGGTTCTTCCATGTTACTGCTGTTACACAATGCTACAGAACCATTTTTCTAAGATGCAGACCCGAGGCCTCTCCCCTGCCTAAAACTGTCAATGGATGCTGAGTATATAAAGCAATCCTTTTCCTTCTGGTCTAAGATCTATGGAGTAGCCTCTAGGGTTACTAAAAGATGTAAAGAGGGCTCAACTAAACCCCATTTACTCAATATTTTCAACAATCACCAAATTACGATTTCTTTTTTTTCCTCCACATTTTTTATTGGTGCATTATTGTTGTACGTAGTGGTGGGATTTGTTGTTAAATATTGGCATATGTATACAATATAACAATATAATTTGGCCAATATCCTGCCCCATAAATTATGATTTCAAGGGTTCTAAATTATTTTATTTATATTCATATAGCCGAACTTTAGTTTAAAAATATTCCTCAAATTATATTCTTGAGAAAAGGCCTACTTACTTATTGCCATGATATCATGGTAGGAAAACCTAAAATATATCAAAATCTCATGGGAAGGAAAATCTTACCATCCATATTCGAATCCCATCCGCCAAAGAATACACCTGTGCAAACTCTTCACTCAGGGCTACCTTGCCCGGCTGTTTACTAGGGAAGGAAGAGAGACAAAGTGATTACATTCAGTTTACTCAATTCACTACTGTAGCTTTAAACACAAAATATTTTCTGAACCTTTTAAAATACAGAAGAAATCCTCCTGACACTCATGCATTAGGGGTGGTAAGAGAGACTTGAGGGGAAAAATCATCGATTAAGCCACAAATACTTGGATGGGTTCTCTGTGTTATTTCAAACTAACTTCGTACAAACTAATAATTTTTGAAATAGAAATACTACTCAAAGTGAATAAAATATAAAAAAATACCTAAAGTAAAATCTTTAAAATATCAGGTCAGGGGAGTAACTCGGTGGTGGAATGCTTGCTTATCATGTGCAAAGTACTGGGTTCAATCTCACTCCAGTAAGATTGGCAGCCATTATGAAGTCAAACAACAACAAGTGCTGGCGAGGATGTGGGGAAAAGGGTACACTTGTACATTGCTGGTGGGACTGCAGATTGGTGCAGCCAATTTGGAAAGCAGTATGGAGATTTCTTGGAAAGCTGGGAATGGAGCCACCATTTGACCCAGCTATTCCCCTTCTTGGTCTATTCCCTAAAGACCTAAAAAGAGCATGCTACAGGGACACTGCTACATCGATGTTCATAGCAGCACAATTCACAATAGCAAGACTGTGGAACCAACCTAGATGCCCTTCAATAGACGAATGGATAAAAAAAATGTGGCATTTATACACAATGGAGTATTACTCTGCATTAAAAAATGACAAAATCATAGAATTTGCAGGGAAATGGATGGCATTAGAGCAGATTATGCTAAGTGAAGCTAGCCAATCCCTAAAAAACAAATGCCAAATGTCTTCTTTGATATAAGGAGAGTAACTAAGATCAGAGTAGGGATGAAGAGCAGGAGAAGAAGATTAACATTTAACAGGGATGAGAGGTGGGAGGGAAAGGGAGAGAGAAGGGAAATTGCACGGTAATGGAAGGAGACCCTCAGGGTTATACAGTGGAGGGGGTAGAGAGAGAGGAGGGGAGGGGAGGGGAGAGGTGGGGAGGGGGGATGGTGGAGGATGGGAAAGGCAGCGGAGCACAACAGACACTAGTATGGCAATATGTAAATCAATGGATGTGTAACTGATGTGATTCTGCAATCAGTGTATGGGGTGAAGGTGGGAGTTCATAACCCACTTGAATCAAAGTGTGGAATATGATATGTCAAGAAATTTGTAATGTTTTGAACAACCAACAATAAAAAATTAAAAAAAAAATTAAAAAAAAATAAAATATGGCAGAACTAAAAAAAAAAAAAAAAAGTACTGGGTTCAATCCTAAAACATTAAAAATTAAAACTGAGGAAAGCCAGTCATAATAGTGTAAACCTGTAGTCCCAGCTATTCATGAGGAAGATCACTTGAGCCAGTGAGTTCCAAACTAGGCCAGGCAACAGTGAGACACTGTCTCAAAAATAAAAACAAAACAAAAACTGAGTAAAAAAATAATTACTGGGCTGGGGTTGTGGTTCAGTGATAGAACACTTGCCTAGCATGTGTGAGGCACTGGGTTTGCTCCTGATCACCACATAAAAATAAGTGAGTAAATATATAAAGGTATTGTATCCATCTACAACTAAAAATAATAATAATAATAATAATAATAATAATAATAATAATAAAATAATTTAATTTTTAAAATTATTATTGAGATATCAATCAATCAATAACATGGATGGACATATACAAACATAAAACACCTAGATAAAAGGTCAGTTTCAGTTTAATATATAGAAAAAAGTTAATAGAGGTGTTTTCTAAATAGTGAGATTGTAGTTCATAATTTTTTTTTTTTTTTCAGAAGTAGAAATTGAACCTGGAGATTGAACCCAGGGGTACTCTAACAAGGAGATTCATCCCTAGTCCTCTTATGGTTTATTTTCAGATCGAGTCTCACTAAGTTGCTGAAGCTGGCTTTGAATTTGCGATCCTTTTGCCGTACCCTCCTAAGTCACTAGGATTACAGGTGTGTGGCACTGTGTACAACAAGTTCATAATTATTTTAAACGTTTCTAGACTTTTTCAGTCTCTACATGAGTATTTTTTTTATAATTTGAAAAAAAAATTTTTTTCAAGACCTAAGAGGCCTGTCCCTCTCATAAAGCAAAATACAATACAATAAAACAGTATGAAGCTTTCTGTTGCATCCATGTTCAATACAATAAACATTTTATGAAGCCCTAGCATGTGCTGGGTTCTACATTAGGCACTGTGAATACAATGCTGAGAAAAAGACATGGTCACTGACCTCATGCAGTGTATGTTCAAGTTGAAAAACTCCTCTCTTACATTTCTAACCCAATTTTTAGACAAAAAGCATTCTCAATGTAGCTCAGTTTTAAAGAACTCACGAATAGTCTTTATTATGATATCTATAGCATAAAGGCAGATGCACAAAGAACTGAATGGGCCACATTCAACAAGGACAGATTAGAAACAAGCCACATACAGCCAGCTATTTCTAGTTCCCACATTTGATTGTGTGTTTCTCTCCTACAAACACATATGTGGAATGGAACATGGTTTGACTTCCCCCTAGTAGGAAACATTCTGTTTCTCAGCTTTTAACCCACAGGCCTTTATACATTTATTGAAAAGTCCCTCAAGTAACAAGGAGTGTCCAGCTTTCTTACTGTCATTTGATCACAAAAATATATATTGTTTTCTTTTTTCCTTCAAAACCATGCAGGTTCCCTTGTCCCTCTCCCCATTCCTTAGTGAAGATACACTCTCCCATATGATATTTGTTTCCATACATTACTCACATTTCAATGTAGTTTTATTTAGGTGGTGGGCTTTTTTAAAGGAGATGTTAAGATTTGAGAAGTAATTGAGATAGTTTCTCAATCAGGAAATAAAGTGCAATGTGAGAGCTAAAGAACTAAGCAATACATGTTGCAGGGATAATATCAATTATAGTAACATGAGCAATAATCAATCACCTACTCTAAAGGAAGGAAGCATCTATTCTCACTTATTTCATCTGCATCAGAAAGAACACATACCTTGCCAAGCACCTTGGAAAAGCCTAAGCCTTATCTTTTTTTTTTTTTTTAATATTTAATTTTTAGTTGTAGTTGGACACAATACCTTTTATTTATTTATTTATTTCTATGTGGTGCTGGGGATCAAACCCAGGGCATTGCACATGCTAGGCAAGTGCTCTACCGCTGAGCCACAACCCCAGCCGTAAGCCTTATCTTTACATAGGATTTGCAATGCTTTTCCCTGAAAAAGTGTGAATGTAGAGAGAGTAGAGATCTTCTGTGTGGATCCTGTTAGGATGTAAGCTGCACATATGAACAACACACAGAGATGGTGCCCTGAGGGAAGTGAGGAAGAGAAATGGTGAAGGGAAGGCTGTCCACAGAGATCCCACCAGAGGCAGCCTGGTGGGATCATGCCACAGAGAAGCTGCAAGTCTAGAGAAAGAGTTAGTACCTTCATTTGCCTCCTTCTACAAGCATGTTATTAGCACAGTCAATAACTTAAATACCTGTGGCTTTAATTGGAATTTCTAGAATGTTGGAGCTAAGGAATTCTAAACCAATTTTACAGATGAGGAAACAGAGGTGCAGGAAGGTTGTCTAATTAACCTGAGCAGTGCAGCTTCTGAGTTTCAGAACCGACACCATTAAGGTTTCTTTCTATTAAATTTCTTGGAAGTTTTCCATGAGAATTCTGGAAAAAGACAAAGTATCTGCTAATTCAGAAACTCAAGGCTACTTGCCACACATAACTATCTGCTAACTATAAATTGGCCATGAATCTTTTGATTGACAAAGTAGAACAAGATGAAGTTTACAGTTGTAGATATGTGTTAACATTTTAGAATTTCTAAATTTTCCCTTAAGATAGGCTTCTTATAACTTAGCAATTAGCCTTCAGATCAAACATATTCCCTGTAATATAAGTTACCATATTTTTGCAGCTTCTCATATAAGTCTGGAGTGCGATACACCAGAGCAGCAAAGGTGGCGTTCACAGCTTGATCAATAGTGGAACCAGCAACTATATCTGTCTTTGGGGCCTGTTTTCTACATGCCTGTATGAATCCTTTGAAAAGTTCTGAATATGGCCCACAGAAGTTCTGAGCAGGCTCTGACTGGGCAAAATCAAGGAGAAAATGGCGGCAGGGATCATCAGGAATGCTCTTAACCTAGGAACAAGAAAAAAAAAATCACATTTGAAATATTCATCAAAAAGTAAAATTTACTGAGCACCTACTAAGATAAAGCAGAAGTATAAACAAATGGTGCATACTCTCAGGAAGTTTAAATCTATTTTAGGGAGACCAGACAGATGTATATGGGTTAATAAAGGCAAATAAAAATAAAACTTAAATGCATTAAAACTAACACTACCATAAAGCAAAAGATTATCCAGTGCCAAATGCCTAAAGGGGACACCCAGTGCTGAGAACTCAAAGGAAGGAGTTCCTGGCAGGTTAAAGTAATTAAGAAAGCCTCTGAAGGACTTGGGATTAGGGCTGAACCCTGAAGGATGGGAAGGCTTGGCCTTGAGGGATATAACCACTAGCAGAGGTTAAGAGTCAGTGGGGAGACTGACCTGGCCTGAAGTCTCAGCTGGGGAGTGGTGGGAACTAGAGTCAGATAGTTAAGGTGAAAGGAGACTGTAGAGAGCCTTGACTGTCACACTGAGGAGTTTAGACTTCACCCTGTGGGCAACGGGGAGCCATTAATGGTGCTTGGCAGTGGAATGACAAGATAATGCAGTGATTTAAAAAAAAAAAAAAAAAAAAAAAAAAACTTGGCAGGTACCAATGTAATAATGCAGGTGTGATGAGGGCCTGGATAAAAATGGAGACAGAGGAAAGGACAGAGATGAACACCATAAGGAAGAATCTACAGGGCTTGCAACTGACTGATAGGAAAGGCAAGAGCAGGGCAGGGATGAAGGGGATGTGAGGGAGCAGTGGCTCTGGGCCTGGGCAAACAATGACTACAACAGAAGTGAGCAGTTAGTAAAGGAGACATTCTGTTTTTTTACTTCAGAGTTAATGGGAGTCAGGACATTAAAATGAAAACGCCTAACAGGAAGATGAAGATATGGAGAAGATACTGGAGTCTGGGAGAAAAAAGAGGGCTGGAAACTGATATTAAGGAATTATTCCCACAGATGGGACAGTTAAAGAGAAAAGAGAGAATAAAGTTTTGGTGGATGGTAGAAAAGGGGAGGAAGCCTGAATATAGCCTACCTTATAGAGAAGAAGGAATGAGAAAGGCCAACGGAGGAGGCACACAGAGAGTTGGATGTAGAGAAGACAGTGGACTATCATGGAATCAAAAAAAGAGAGGGTCTGAAGGAGTTTGATTTAACAGGGAGATAAAGGAGAGTAGAAATGGAGAAAGAGCTACTGACTTTGGCAATTGACCATGGAATAACTTGCAGGGGAAAGAAAGGGAGGGAAAGAAGGAAGGAAGGAGAAATAATAGAAAAAGGGAAGGAGAGATGGAAAGTAGAAACAGAGGGCAAATTTTTTAGTTTTTAAAATATTATGAACAGTTAAATAAAGTGCTACAGCTGTATGGAGAACAAAAGGAATAGCAAAAACCATTTACTCTTAAGTGTGACTCAGTAGGCACTAGAAACAGACTCCACTTGTTTGATTGATAATGCCATCAAGAAAGATTTACTGAATACCTACTATATTTCACTGGAGTCATTCCTTATTTTTGAACACCCATTGCTGACTGGTCCCTGGGGTACACAGTGGGATAACAAATAACAAGGAACAGTTTCTGCCTCAAGGCACTAACAGTTTAATGGGGTGATAAGACATTAGTAAACAGTTTCCACCCAGATGTAAAGATGACAGAAGAGTAAATACCTCCTTCCTATCCTGGTGTGGGTGAGTGGGCCAGCTTGCTTCTAATTCCAACTCTGGACAAATCTGATGCCTGAAGACAGGTTTCCACAAAGGAGAGTTCAGGACTGAAGCCATTTTTGCCTGTGGTATTACCATATTACTTCCTAACTCTGGAAAAAGAAGGTGACTTGTGAGAGTTCTATTTTTTCCTTAATACACTGAGATTCTTTGAACTAACAAAGAAAAGGGTTAAACAAAGAGAGAAAAAAAACAAAAAAACCTAAGAGGAAATTCACTCACATTTCCGAGAAACACATTATAGATTAACCTAAACCACAAGTCCTGAAATGCTGCTGTTCTGTGGGATAACTTCAGTTACAAGGTGTCTTTGAAGTGATTAACCTGTTTACTAAACTGAAAGCCAAATGTAAACTACTTCTAGCACACAATAGGAGGTCATTTAAGAATATTAATTATGGGAAAACATTCACAATTTATAAACTTAATTTTATTAAAAAAATAATTAAATACCCACCATAGATCTAAATAGACACAGAAATAAAGATTAGGTGGAATTTTAAAAATGTTGATAATAGTTATCTCTGGGTGTTAGGAGTAAGGGTGATTCTACTTTTCTTCAATTTTTCTCCAGTATGTAATTTTTCTATGAGCTTTTACTTTTATAATTGGAAAAACTCAAGAGATCATACAGAAATAAATTTACTAGAAAGGTTTATTCTATAAGTTTTATTACTTATAAGAATTTAATAACAAGTTCTATAAATTGAATTTAATAACAAGTTGACCAAATCCATACTCACATATCTATATCTATACATAAATATTTACTCAAACAATATACAATTAATTTATTCTATTTTTCTGCCTTCTGGTTGGAGTATACCTAAATCTACCTCCAAAAATACATTATTATGATGTTGCTAAAAAAATCCATCTCCCTCTTTCTCTTGTTCTCTTTCAATAGGGGGAATCCACAAAACCCGTTGTGATGTGGGCCAAAGACTGAGTCAAAAAACTTCATGTCAGCCGGGAGTGATGGTGCACACCTATAATCCCAGCAGCTCAGGAGGCTGTGGCAGGAGGATCACAAGTTCAGCAACTTAGCAAGGCCCTAAACTACTTAGCAAAACCCTGTCTCTAAATAATATACCTATTATTTAGGGGATGTGGCTCAGTGGTTAAGCACCCCTGGGTTCAATGCCCAGTACCAAAAAAAAAAAAGAAATTTCATGTCAATGATGTCAAGTGGACAATTTATTCTGGCTTGGTTTAAAGGAAACTGAACGGAATATTATCAATACCTTGCCCTGATCTTATGTGAAGATGCCACAAGGGAGAGTACATGTTTTGCTCTTAAACACAGTTGTAAGGAGAAGGAAGGGACAGGGCTGTGAACTTACGATACGTAGACTTGAGTGCCATGCACTGGGAGGCGAGGCGTCCCATCAGTCGGGAGACAAGGAGTTGTAAATCTAACCCCCAAGACACAGCAACATCAGGCAGGCCATAGGCAGTGACAGTGAATTTGTAGCCCCACTCATTGTTGCTGCTGTCAGAGTGAAAGAGGAACTGTAGCCGAGGACCATCCTTAAAGGTCACTTTCTAGAGACAGACAAATGTCATGTGGTCAAATAGAGTGAGGAGGAAGCATTTCAGTAGTAAACATGTTCTTTGTGACTCAAAAACTGGTCTCTATTTCCACAAGTGCACAACTACTGAAGGAGAAATGTACAAAGGTGTGACTGAAACACAAAATTTACTGCAACACTCATGAAAAAGCATAATTGGCAGAAAACTACTGCTTAGCTTTCTAAATTCAGATGCCCATCTGCCTACTACCTACTCAGCCAGTGATCACACCTGCTTAGTCCTTTGCTGCCAGCCAAGACCCCTGAGAGCAGAGAGAAGGTCAACAGCCTGGGGCAGCTCTTAATCTCCAACCCAGAGAGAGCAGATCCAATTGTGAACTGGACTCCTGGCTTTCACCATGGTCTGGGCCTTCATTCAGATCCACCAGTCCGTCCTTGACAAGAGTGACAGATCCTCATTTATTCTGGACAATGCTGAAAGAGTCTGGGGGTTGGTAAACTTTTCCTATAAAGAACGCAGGTGGCCAATATTTTAGATTTTTCAGGTCACACAATCCGTGTTGTGATCATTCAACCCTGCCAAAGCAGTACCAAAGTGGCTATAAGAGATAAAAGGGAATGGTTGTGTTTCAAATCTTTTTTATTTATAAAACAGGCAACAGATAGTAGTTTGTCAACTTTGATACAAATCTTACTTTTATTAAAGTGTAATATAAATGCTTCCCTTCAAAGATTACACCTCTTGCTCTAAGGGTTGACAGAATTGCTACAGAAGTGTTTCATTTATTTCTAAGAATATCACTCACCTTAGGCCATTTGTAAGTGCCGACTTTTGTGTCATAGCGTGTTTTCCCACCTCTAGCATCAGTAAATTCCAGGTAATCATATCTGTGAAAGCATAATCTTTATTACTTTTCTTCTCTTGTTTTTGACCCATTATTGCTAGGGAGAAAAGAACATGTAAGTCTTACCTTTTTTCAGTTTCACACCTTTCGTCAAATTCCACCTCAAAATAGGTTGCCCCTGGGCTAACAAAGACAGACACCTCGTGGCAGTTATTTTCATAGTTGTGGGCAGACTCTTTGGTCCATGTATGCAGAACCACAGGCTGTTCTTGCTGCCAGGTCTCTACATCCAGCTAAGCAAACAAGTGAGTCAAGAAAAGACAGTATTTGGGCTGGGGTTGTGGCTCAGTGGTGGAGTGCTTGCCTAGCATGTGTGAAGCACTAGGTTCGATTCTCAGCACCACATAAAAATAAATAAATAAAAGGTCCATTGACAATTAAAAAAATATTTTTTAAAAAAGATAGTATTCATCACTCCACACCCAGCCATACGCAATAGGCTTTCTCTATCAGTGCTGTAGGCACATGAGCTTTGACAGCCCCACGCTGTCATGCAAGCTAAAAGACACCTGACCTTCCCATCTGAACAGAGATCAACAGATATCTATCATTCAGCAAGGTAGACATGTGCTTTTAGTCTACTGTAGGAACTTTGGGATCAGTCTTTATCTTTTTTGCACTTGCCCTGGATCAAACCCAAGGCCTCACATATGTAGCCAAGTGTTCTACCACTGAGCTACATCCCCAGCCCAGAACTATTTCTTTTTTGGTACTGGTGATTGAACCCAGGGGGACTTAACCACTAAGCCAAATACCTAGCCAGTGTGGTCAAATAGATGTGAGGAGGAAGCATTTCAGTCGTAAACACGTTCTTTGTGACTCAAAAACTGGTCTCTATTTTTTGAGACAGAGTCTCTCTGATTGCTTAGTGCTTTGCTGGCTTTGAACTTGTGATCCTCCTGTCTCAGCCTCCTAAGCTGCTGGGATTACAGGCATGCACCACCACACTTAGCCAGAACTATTTCTTACAAATCATTGACAATATGTATTTCCAGTGGGGTGGGGGAAGAACACTGAATTAAGAGTTTAAAGGCCTCATATTCCTACTTGGGACCTCAGCAAATCTAAGACCACTATCTCTCTTTGAATCTTTGCTTTTTAAAAAACCTATTAAGTATATGCCCTTTCTACTGCTAAGGGTTTTTGTGATACTTAAATAAGACTGTGAAAAAACTTCGTGTACTATAAGATTAAGTAAGAGAGAGAATTCTTTTAAATGTCAGACTTTCTAACCTGCCTTTTTTTGGGGAGGCAGCGGGTACCGGGGATTGAACCGGAGGGTGCTTAATCATTGAGCCACATCCCCTGCCCTTTTTATTTTTGAGACAGGGTCTTGCTATGTTGCTTAGGGTCTCCGTAAATCACCAAGGCATGCTTTAAACTTGTGCTCCTCCTGCTTCAGCCTTCTAAATTGCTAGGAAAACAGTCATGTGCCACTAGGCCTAGTTCTAATTTGCCTTTCAACATACATTTTCTCTTCTAGACTTCAATGATTATTCACATATATGGATCTTATGTAACTTTTGTGTTATAATTGCATAATTTACTCTTTGTATCTCCTTTCTAATGCTGACTATGACAAATAAACTTGGATCACCATTTATTCTCTTTGTTGAAAAAAACCACCAATAAAATTGCCTTCTAGAGGCAACTTATTTGTGAAGATCTATAGTCAGTGGTATGTTCCATTCAGTACGGTCACATCTCTTTTGAGAGGAAGCAACACAGGGTCAAACACCCACTCAAGTTACCTTATTTGGCCCTCCTTCAGGGTCACTGCAGAGCTTCTTCAATAGCTCTGTTAGGGTACTGAACTCTCTCAAGAGTGTGCAGTGTGAAATGTCTAAAGTGCAGAAGTCCAACAGGAAGATGACCTAAAGAAAGATGAACAAAGGCACCCAGTGTCCACCTCAGGCCCTGCCTGGGGTACTGATCACCAACCCCTACTCTGCTTGTTACATTTTCTTACCAGTTGACGAGCTGCCATCGAAAACACTGAATTACATAATTTTTCTACTATGGTTTTCCCACTATACTGTGACAAAAGGGATTCCAAAATCACTCTCATGCTTGCCAGAAACTGTGCCACATCTATCAAAACATAAAGAAAGCGGTTAATATTTTATACGGAGGGAATATCACTTGCTTAGTTGTTACCAAGAACAAAGCCAGAGAGGACCACAGAAGCTGTGTGTGTGTGTAAGACTCAACAATAGAAGACCAGGGGACCACCAAGCACCATCCAAATGCTTTCCTCTGGAAGGGAAAGCAATGCAAATTTCAGTAAAAGGTTACTTTTAAAGAGATGTTTTCTGTCTTTGTTAGTTTTTGATGAAGTGGAGATATCACTTTTATAAGTGAAGTTACATTGTCAGTGGGCCCAGCTCTCAGCATCCTTTTTTCCTTTAGTATACAATGGGCCCAGGCATTAGGGGCACCAATCTGAAGGAACAGGTTCCAATTATAGGACTCAGTACCCTAAGCATTTATGCCATGGCTGCTCAGGGCAAGTTTGATGAAACCAAATTTTTCCCACCCAATTTCTCAGAACTTGTTAGTTTCATATAATTTTCTGTGGGTTTACAGGACATGAATTTGAATACTTCAGGACTGGCAGAGGTCACAGCAGTATTCATACACCTTGGATGCTAAAAGCTCAAAACTCTTTTTTAGATGACTTGATTAAGCCATGGATGACAGACTATCCTGACAAGTGAGACATCATCTAAGAGTGCTGTGTGACTGAAGAGAGAATGTCAGGTTATGGAATGACCCAATTCCTCAAAAAAAAAATACTAAGACATATACCACATTCAAATAGGAAATTCTGAGCAAAAAGACATACTATAGAATTCTATTTTAAGAGGGCAAAAGTTACCCTATTCAGTTTTTTGGTTTTATTTTGTGTTTTTTGTTCTTGTGGCACTGGGGATTGAATCCAGTAGAGTTCTACCACCGAGCAACATCCCCAGCCCCTTTTATTTCTAATCTTGAGACAGGGTCTCACTAAGGTGCTGAGGGTCTTGCCAAATTTCTGAAGCTGGCTTCAAACTTGTAATTCTCCTGGCTTAGCTTCCCAAGTAGCTGGGATTATAGGTGTGCATCACTGCACCCAGCATAGATCTGAACTCTAATAAAGAACCTAGTGAAAAAAAAAAAAAAAAAAAAAAGAACCAGTGTACATCTCTGTGTGAGTTACAAAAGAGAAAGTTTTTGTGCAGAGTTAAATCCAGACACCTGCTCTTGTGTATTTAATATCAACACTCACATTTTTCGATAAGGTCCACGGCCAGGCCTTTGGCTGCTGTGTCAGTTGCCTTTAGCTGCAGATAGCACCAGGAGAGCAGGCTGCCTTGGACAGACCAGAAGAGGGAGAGGAGCACAGAGCCAGCCTCCCCTTGGGTCCCACTGAGCATCAACAGCTCACACTACAAGGAAGCAGACAAATACAAAATGTCCCAAGCAGGCTACTCAAAGAATACAGCCAAGGGCCCTCTATGAGAGCAGCTATTACTAGCAAAAAAAAAAAAAAAAAAAATACTACCTGTATGGGGAATAGTCTCAGAAGAGTTTTCAACCCAGAAGTGAACAAGAAAGATGGCATTATGAAAACTCCTCTCTTGCCCTGCAATTTTCAGAAACTTTACAGCAATGTTTTCTGCTCCACGGGATATTTCCTTCCACAGCTCAGGAACCCACCCCACTGCTTATTTCTTCCCTGTTTTACATCTTGAAATTTCTTTTCTCTTTGGCTCCTTCTCGTGAGCTTTCAGTTAAATTTTTCTCACCTTAAAATAAATCTTCATCTTTCCATGGCTCTCTAACCACCATCTTTGTTATTGGGAGTTTCTTTGAAGTATCACCCGACCTTTAGAGATAAACTCTTACACATAAATATCATGAGGTATGCTTGTATTGGCACTGTCACGGGCTCAAGCTGGAACTAACCCAACAATCCCTCCAAAGTAAAAATGGATAAAAAAAAGTGTGACATGTTTATGGAGGGAATACTGCACACCAGGGAAAGTATATGACAACACATATATCAACATGAATGAATCTCAAAACATGCCACAAAAAGATTGTACACATATGATTCTGTTAAAGGACAAAATCAGGAAAAATAAACACATTGGGTATGGATAACTACAAAGAAAAAGAAAAATAAGGAATGATGAACACAAACTTCAGAATGGTGGCTGTAGCTGTTGAGGAAAGTGGAAGGTGAGCCATGAAAAGACATGGGGATGGGGGGACGGGATTTCAAAGATACTAGTAATGTTCTAATACTTAAATGAGAGTTGTTTCTGTAAGCCATCTGTACACACACACACACACACTCTTTCATGAGTGTGTGTATGTGCATGTGAGGGTCCTGGAGATTGAACCCAGGGGTGCTCTATCACTGAGCTTCACCCTAACTCATCTTTATTTCTTATTATGAGAAAGGGTCTTGTTAAGCTAAGGCTTGCCTTGAACTTGTGATCCTCCTACCTCAGCCTCCACATAGCTGGGATTATAGGTGTGGGCCACGGCACCTTGTCATATATACTCATATATATCTACCTCATTTTTAGAAGTTGCCTCTATCTTCTGAGGCTTTGCTTTCCCCTTCCCTCCCACTCTGCTGCTTCTGTGGATACCACTCCCCTCAGACACCATTTACCACCTCGCGAGCAAATCCTTCCCACTGAACCTCAGAGACTCTTTGACCTCTATCCCCTATGAAGCTCTGTCTCCTCCCCAAGCTTCTGTTTCTCCTGAATTTCTTCCTGAGACTCTACCCCTTCTCTGTAAGATTGCCTCAAGAAACACATGGATGACATGATACTATCTCTATTTAAGACTTCAACTATCATTTGTTTTTTACTGATTACAATCTCCAGCACTGACTACTACCCTGAGTGCAACCAGTATCAACATCTGAACACTGGCAGAACTATGAACTAAGCATGCTTAGCGTCCACCCATTATCACTCCTGCTCTTTGAACACCTGCTCCTCCCCACCTTGTCACAAGCTTCTGTGTGTGCCAGTCCCTCCATCTACAGTGCCATTCTGTTCTTCTTTGCTTGCTTAAGCCTTATTCATGGTCTTGTGCAGAGCTTTAGCACCATCTTCTCGAAAATGCCTTTTCTCAGCTCTACCAGACATGGTGAGGTATGAATCCCTGACTCCCCCAAGGACCCCATACCCACCTTCTGACAGTTCTTGCCATGTGGTCAGAATTGTCTAATCACACATTTGTCTGATCTCAAGACTGGGCTCTGCCATCACTGTATCTGCTGTGCCTAGAACAGGGTCTCATACATAGCAGGTATTCAGCGATACCGTTGAGTTAACAGACTTAGCAGAAAAATTTCATGCTAGGTATACTTTGGATCACCTTTACATTTTTCCTCTAAACTAATTCTACCTCTTTAACATAACCATAAATGCCTCCATGAATGATAATTCAAGGAATTCTGTTAATGGCTACAGTGATCTCTGGCCTATGAGGTCCAATAATATCTGTAACCTCTGTATCACAGATGAGTGGAGGAGAAAAAAGGACAAGTATTTGATCTCCATATGGTAATAGTTAGAGGAAATTCTCTTGGACAAATGCCACCTTGCTTCCCCACATATATCTTAAAGCAAGTGTGGCTTAGTGGAAAGAGGATAAGACTTAGAGTCCAATGGCCTAAGTTTCAGCAGCATCTATGAATACCAGGTGGGAACCCTGAGGTTTTTTGCCCAATGGAACTGATGATATGACTTTAGTGGAAGAACTGGTTAGGGTAAGAGCTAAGATAAAGTTTCAAGGGTTTGTGTAACAGGTATAATTTAGGTGAGCTTCCAAGAGAAAGAGAAGGTGTGGGAAATGGTAAAAATAAAGATAGAGATGAGAATGGCAAATCAGAGCAGAGAACAAGTAAGGATGAGCAATAGGCTGGAATGAGAATTTGAAGGAAAACAAGAGGTAGGCAGAAGAGTCTGGAAATAAGACAGAAAGCACAATGAAAATAAGAGAAAATTAATGTGACAGTGGAAAACAGAGAACCAATCAGGTATAAAGAATTAATGTTAGCTTAAAGAAAATAGGCACCATAGTGAAATCCCAACCCTGGATTTAAAGCAATAATAGGCCTAAATAACAGTCAGCATCAGTGTGACTGTGGCAGATAATCTAGTCAGATTATAAGCTCTCTAAGGACACCATAAGTGAACTGGTGGTGGTGGGAGGGAGATAACTATTCACTGGCCTATTGCTCCAGCCTGTGAGGAATGAATAAAATCATGGCTCTAACAGCAACTTGAGAACAGTAAAGCACTATCAAAAATATAAAAGATTTAAAGACACTAAGTTCAGTTACAAGAAACAGATAAGTTGCCTTGACATCCATATCATTAAATATCTCAAGGGTATGGTGTGGACTGTCCTACCATAACACCTCTTCTCTCTGGTTCCTATATTTAGCCCTATGAGGTAGTTCTTGGCTCCTAGGAAAGCATTTCTCTCTTTTCCAAATTTCTTGGGAGTGCTTGGTAAAAATGCACATTCTTAAACCTATCTTTAGACATTCCAAATCAGTAGCTTGGGGTAGGACCTGGAAATTATTATTTTTTTCACTATTCCTGGTGCTTCCCATCATTAAGAGCATGAACTACATTTTGAGAAGCAAAACCTTTCATATGAAAAAAAGAAGTACAAAGTTTAAAAAATATCATTAATATGGGAAAAAGAGACTACATTTTCAGATTTGATTAGTCTTCAAATTTACTAAGTAATCAGTTTTTTTTTAAATGTCAAAACAGTTTTCCACAAAATTCACATCACAAATATATAACTACGTGTTGGGCTGACCACTGATAGTATCAGGGTCATTGATTACAAATCCATTCCTCTTTTTTCACAGAAGTCTTTTTTTTTTTTTTTAAATAAACTCATCAATGAATTTTGCCCTTCTTTTTTTTTTTTTTTTTTAAGAGAGAGAGAATTTTAATATTTATTTATTTATTTTTAGTTTTCGGCGGACACAACATCTTTGTTGTATGTGGTGCTGAGGACTGAACCTGAGCCACACACATGCTAGGCAAGCACGCTACCGCTTGAGCCACATCCCCAGCCCCTCACAGAAGTCTTAATAAACACATCTGTGCTTTTACTCCTTGCTGACTACCAGGGGACAGGAAAGGAAAGGTCCCCTTACTTGTTCATAGGGGTTAGCTGGGAAACCTCTGTGTTCATGTGTAATCATCAAGTCATACTGTAGATAAGGGCTAAAGGACAGGCATAGCGACTACCATATCATGTGTTCCTAAAAGCACAAGGCAAAGAAGAGAGAGAGGAAGCCATGAGATACCTCTCGAGCAGCAACAGAGAGGAGGGTGTTCATGACTGCCAGGACTTCACTGATGTTCATGTCAGCCAGGTCACTTTTCTCAGGTAAAAGTAGAAGGCCGCCTGGATCCTTATCACTGAAAATACACAAATTAGTCACCATATCTGGTTTCAAGAAGGGGATTTTCATGTTTTCTGTCTTAAAAAATCCCAGAAAGATTTCAGTATCAGTTCTATGGGACGGAAAGAGTCTGCATCAGGAAGATAAACCATGATTCCAGCTAAGACTGTGCCACTATCTGTCCACATACCCTTCTGTAAGCACAGACTCAGAAATCCTCCAGGCCTTAGAAAAGATCCTAAGGAATATGTCTAATGAGTAAATCACCTTGGCCACCAAAAAGAAATACTGACCTCATGAATGCTAACTGGACAATCCAGGCTAATGATTCCCTACTTCAAATGTTGTTCAGATAATGGCCCCAGGCTCTTCCATCATCCTTGCTATTTGATTCTGGAAACATTTTATATAGCTAGCCTTGTAAGTCAGGCATCCGTACCAGGCTCAGTCTGACTTGCAGGCAGGTGTTTGAGCTATTAGCTTTCTTCCTCCATCAAGAGTCTATACCTGGGGGCTGGGGCTATAGCTCAGTGGATGAGTGCTTGCCTAGCACATGTGAAGCACTGAGTTCAATCCTCAATAAGATAAATAAATAATAAAGGTACCTGTCCATGTACAACTAAATTTTATATATCTATAGATATATATTTGTAGTGTTTTGATTAACAAAGAAGCTAATGGTCCTGTGGGCTGCGTTTCTTTGATAATCAAAACACTACAAATCTCCAAGCCTCCCCTCCTGGAACCTTTCTTCTGTGAACTACAATTCTGTGCTTTTACAGTTGGTTTTAATGTAATTGGGTTTGTACACTTGAGTACAGAACCCCAACTTCTTTGGCTTTTTTAGTTTTTGTCTTTAAAACTTATTTAGAAAATGAAGAACTCAAAGAAGCCTTCAGCAGGTTCAACTCTAACTCATTTTATAATGATTGGAACTTGGACTAAGCTCTTGACAAGGCTATAATTCAACCAGTATTTTAATCGTCCTTGTTCCTAGTAATAATTCACTCCAGAAATTGAGCTTTCTAGTAGGGCAGGAAAAGTACTACTCCAAATGACATGGAAGGAGGGGATAGCTAAAGAAAATGACTTTGCAGAGATCTGAAATATTTGACAATTGAAGTATGATCTTACCTAAAATATGTGCATAGTGAACGGAAAGTGAGCTGCAGGGACTGCTTGTGCTCTTGCTCAGTGACATTCTTCTACAAAACCAGAAAGTGTACATTCAAAAAAAATCTATACCATGACATTCCAAAGACCTATAAAAGCATGAAATACCACCACCCACTGGTCCATAGTATGAGGAGAGCAGGGCCTGGACCATATTACAGTAACCACCTAAAACCTGGTCCAGTGCTAAGAAGCAGCAGAACCAACCATCCACACAAAAGATGGCAGGTGACTTTGGTTCCCTGCCAAAGGTAACATCTGTAAGCCTTCCTGTAGAAAAGCCTGATACAAATGTTCAGACAATGGACCTCCAGGGGATATATACTCTTTATCATTGGGAATGCCATCCCCAGAGCAAAAGGCAAAGACAGTGCAATTCTCATGAGCTTTCTGTATTTAATCAGGATCAAAGCTTTTCCTTTGTCTTGTACGTTTACAGTCTATGCTGTCAGTAATAGGAAATAGATAGACCTTCTGGTGGGACTACCAGGCTACTTTGGGGGAATTTTATTTTTTCTTAAATAAATGTACTGAACACTTTCTTCAATATAAGGCACTGACAAGGGATTTCCAGAGAATTTAAGCCCAGGGCCCTGCCTGGCACAGCACAGTGGGGAGCTAAGATAAGGTCACAATAAACATAATTACCTAAAGAAAGAACTATTTAGAATGGTGAAAAGTCAGCAGTGCTATTCAATTCATCAGCATGAGAAGGTAAAAAAACAATCCTCATTGCTGCTGTCTGAAGGGATGGGCAAGGCAAAAGAGACAAGACTGCATTGCTAACAGACACCAATGTCATTCTAGAGATCATATGTTCTCTTTCTACTTATCATGTGAGACGTGTGAGAAAAAAAAAAAAAAAATCATTTGCTCAGCCACCTGGTGAATGCTTCCAGCAAAGAAGTGAAACAGATTTTTGTATAGGATACTCCATTTGGTAAAATAATGCTTATAAATACTGAAAGCATCTTTCATTCCTGGTATGAAGTCTGAAAAACATGGAGAAGGGGTCTAGGAGGGAGAAGAAAACCAGCTGAAGATCAAAACTTGGTCATATTTTCTTTACAGATCTATATTGAAATAGTTTGAATAAAATACAACAGGGATTTACCTCAAAATGATACTGGATTGTGGGGAAAAGAGTAGGTGAAGCATTTTATACATGAAATAAAATTAGCCCAAGTTCATCAATGTTGAAGCTAGATGATTAGTACATTTGGGGCTGATAGGAGTTATTGTACTATTTAGTCAACTTTGGTATTCATTTTAAACTTTCCCATAATTGGGAAATAAAAATAAAACAAAATTTTATTGAAGGCAAGTCATAAAGATGGAGACTAAATTGTGACTTTGTGAGATAACACTTGTGAAACACAGATGAAATACTGTCCTTGTCCTTTGATATCTGTGTGTCCCCCACAATTGGGAAATTAAAACTGACAATATATTCAGAGAGAACAAAGATTAATAGATCTCATCCTAATAGACTTCAGGAATGGGAACTGTCCTTTCAGATAATAATTACCATCATGGTGAAGAGATGGTTCCGTCGGGTCTGTCGATCAGGAAAGAAGATGGCAGCTCCATTGAGAAGGGTGTTCCTGACCTCTTGTTTTAATATCTCCATGGGCATGGAATCTCCATCCACCCTATCTACCACTAATAAAAATGAACAATGGAATCAACTTTAATATGTTCCATCTATTCACTTACAATACATACCGCTAAAAACTGGTGAACAAAACTCTCCGTTTTATAGTTAATATCAGAACAAGAATTGCTTTTGTACAGGTTAGGCAGTATAAGAATATTATTTTTTTGTTAACATTTAGCTAAAACAAAGACGATATATGTCAGTTCTTATTTCTCTGTTCTTTTGAGATATAACCTGGAAAAACCTTAAAAATACTGTCAGATTGTCTCGTTTCATCTTCAATTTGTCACTGTAATCTCTTCACCTCAGCCTTGATTGAGGTTAAGACTGA